TCTGAACTTATATTTGTATCAAGCAATACGAGCCAATAATCAAGACATTATTGTTTAACTTCGACATACGCACGTTTCCTTAGATCCACACTCCGGGTGTGTAAGTGGTGCCAGTATCCAGTGTTGCTCTTTGCTGGATTTCTCCCTGTGCCCCCAGCACCCAAACAACCTGACCGGCTGTTCATGGAGTGTGCTTGAGTCATTGGCGTGCAACAGTAGATATACCTCTGCGTGTTAAGCGTGTGTCTTGTAGTGGGTACATACAGGTTTGCTCTGAACCTGTGTGGTACTGTTGATTCTACAAGGCTGCTAACTCCCAGGGACATACTTTGATCTATATGCAAATGTGCTTTGTTTTCGGGTAGTAATGTGCCTTTTCCTTGCTTTCTATTTTGAAATAATGCTTTTGTATACAGGTACATTAACATTTTGATATTTGTCATTTTTTTGTCTTGTGTAGGTATTTGGCAGTTCAACATTTGGGAGAGGGGGGCGGGGTGTGTTAACATTTGTATTCTGTTACTACATTGTGAATACGCTTTGTGTATATTGCAGAGTTTTCCATCTAGTGCCACCACCCTGCACTTTGAATTCTATTCAGAGAGTAAAGAGGATAAAGGAAGCAAAAAAGTGTCACCTGTGAGTATTGTGGTTTATACAGCCTCTTTGTATTTAAATGTTTCTCTTCATTTGGAAATTAAATGAAGTCCGTTGCTAGCACTGTGAGCTAATCAAGTTAGCTTTTGTTTTGTCTGAGGTAACACTCTGTTAAACACAGCAGGTTATGACTGTTGGTAGCTGCTACACCTTCACAGTTCTCCCTTTTTTGTCTATTTTGTTATCTCTCGGACAGAGATTCTCCCCACTCATACTAGTACTAGTGTTTGTTTCATTTTGTGTAGTTATGTTTGATTAGCAACCTTTATTTTCACACGGTTTGCTTGGGGAATGCAACTTTTAGGTCTTACCTTTGTACTGTTGTTTATTCCCCCCAAGTCTATCTTGCCTTTTCTCATCTTTAAATGACTTATATTGTATTGTCAGTGTGCTCTTTAATTAAAACGTGTTACATTTGAATTTGAAAATGCCATATGCAAGTAGAGCATAGTTGTCTGTACATCAAATCAGCAAGTTTTATACATTTCAATGTGTTCGGTTTACTCATTTTGTTGTGGAATAATTACTCATTTTGTTGTTGAATAAGTTCACATGGCAAAGTGTTTGATTTGTCCTCAGGGTACCTCCAATGTGATCCAGAGTATTCATATGGAAAATGTGGACAAGACAGGACGTATGCCGTCACAAATTATGGAGGATATTGCAGACCTGTATGAAGTGCCTCAAGAGAAGAGGGTAAGGTCAAAACGATCAGTTAGACTCCAGGGTTGTTTTGTTTATCTCTGAGATTTTTAACATAAAGCGCTTTGAGAAGGTTGAGTATTCTCATGTGAACAAGACCATCATCATTCATCATTGCGTAAGCTTTGCAATCATTGTGTATGTAAGATTGGCAAAGTCGTCTTTGCCAGTTACCAGGGGGCTAAGCTTCAAGGTCCGTCTCCATTTAAAAAATAGTCTGCACCTCTACACTGTTTTAAAGAATAACTTAGCATAGCAGTTTCTTGAATGATTTATTTAGTTATTTTTTCAGATGTCCTCTTTCTTTCCCTCTCTCTTATGTCTATCCACTTGACTATCCCTATTTTATGTGCTTCCTGTTGGATTGTATCACCAACAGGCAATTTGCATGCTATCTAGGGTTTATTTAAGGTTGTGGTTGTTTTTATAGTAGCGTTATTGGTGAAGACATTTCTCTATTCTTATTCTTTCTTGTTCTGTGGGTAGTTGGAGGGCGCAACTGGTAGGTCCTCCTTTTTAACTTTCCCTCTGTTGTTTCTGTCTGTGTGTCGTACTTTTTTCCCCAGCACTAAATGACTATTATTGTGTCCATGTGCTTCTCTTTAACAAACAAACATTTTTTGAGGTGGGTTTTTTTTGGTTTAAAGATGAATGACCTCCAGTACTTTGATCCTAATCAATTGATGCATGTTTCTCCTTACTTCATGCAGGTACTACTTTTCACACACATCAGACTGGCGTGCTTGTTCTCAGACTATGAGGCCAGGGTTCATTGTGTTCAGGCAAGATTACAGGCCATATCAATTTTGGGTAAGTAATAATGTATGAATGTTTGGTTTTTTTTTTCTTTTTGTTGTTTTGTTTTGTAGAGAAATACCACCCTTTTAAGAAGGTTAATAACACCCCCCCCCCCAGCAAAACGTCTGTAGTGAAACACTATGATGGTTTTGTCAGTGGTTTTTATTTAAAATGGGCACTCGGATTGATTAAAATAAACTATTGTATTGCTGTGTAATGGCTTACTGAGAATTTGATTTCGAATAAAATTTTATGAATGGTGACGACCAAACCTGGGGAATACACTCACACAGTTGCTGCACATGCTGTCACTGTTACGTAGCCCCTGAGAACATGAATAAACACACACAACAACCCCCCCCCCCCCCCCACCACCACCACCACCACCCACAGTAAAACGGTTGAAGGCCATTTGGCAGTCACCTTGTGTTCATTCTTTGTGCCTTAGTTTTGTAGAGAAATTATGAAGTATTCTGTGACCTCTGCATAATGTTCTTCTCTCCCTCAGTGTATTCAAGTGCAATCCAAGAGAACATGAATGTGATCCTGTACCCCGGCTTGATAGAAGAGTTGGTGGACATTGTGGAGATCAAAGATACTGCCCTTGTGGTGAGTTGACTCATGGCACTAAGACGATGTCGTTTATGACGTAGCAGCAGAAAATTCTTTCGTGTGGTTGACGGAAATTCTGGTTCTCAATGATGTTTACAAGCATATGTCTGTACACCTAATGAAGAAAATTTTCCTGAGAGAATCAGTCTTTATTTGCTTGTACACAAGCTGGTTGCTCTTTTTTCTTTTCTATGCATAAACTATGTCCCATCTAGTGGGGTATTTTTTGTTTTTGCAAATTTCTTTTTTCTCTTGTCTTTTTCTTGTGGTTTTACTAATAATCTTTTGCAGTGCGTTGGGACATTTGAATTAAACAATGTTCTTTGTTTTTTAAAAGTTTTCTTAGGTTTCAATTGACTTTGTTGATTTTTCTAAAGCAACTAATGCATAGTATTTTATGAAGTTACAAATTTGATTTTTGACATTTTTCTGTCAGTCGTAATTCTAGCATTCAGTTTTGAACGCACTTTATTGAGGGATTATTGTGTATCAGGTGTTGCACTGTTGTCTCTTTTTACTCTTCATGATGCTATCTTTATTAGTTGGAGCGATCTGCCAAGTTTTAAAAAAAAATTTGAATTATTCTTACACCTGTTGCTTCTGTCTGTCATCTTTATTTTCCTTACTTTTTGTGTCAGTTTATTACACTACAATTTTTTTTTTTCACAGGATATCAAATCAGCTGCACTTCGTACTTTGACTTCAGTAATTCACATTGAACGAAATCCCAGGTATTTAAAATTCTAATGATTGCACGAGTGAAGTGTTTGTGACATGTATAACAGTGAGGTGTTTATGTTGACAGCATATTAGTGGAAATTTATTCTGTATTATATACTTAAACAAACTCAGGTTCTCGATGATGTTTACAAGCATATGTCTGAATACCTCATGTAGAAAATTTGACTGAGAGAATCGCTTATCATCCAAATTAATTATGCTAATATTAATGTAACAATTGTGAGACACACTCTCCCCCTCCCCCCCCTTACAAATGTTGAAATAGATGTTTAACTTTTGTATTTTCTGGTTTGTTAAGTAGGGGCATGTAAAGGTATGTCGTGTGCAAATGGAAGTTTTACTACTTCAGTGAATGTGAATGCGCCTTGAAATGGTATGCAGCAGAATTTTTTTCGCTGATAGTGTTTACGACAAAATAAATTGTTTACCATTGCAGGTTGAACAGTATTATTGATGCCACTGGAGCCTCTTCTTACCATGGCTTTTTACCCGTGCTGGTCAGAACATGCATTCAGCACATGATAGGTGAGAAGAATAAACACTCTTTTGCCACATAATTTTCTTTTTTTCATTTTTATTTTCAGTTGGTGATGGGCTTGTAGTCCATGTTTGACAAGATTGCTAGATGCAGTATGTTGAAAGAACAAAATAATTTTGCCAGAAAGTATTTGAAAAGTGCTCTGGATATTTTGTAGAGATGGACCTCTGTTCGTCATTTTGTAAACATTGAAATATATGAAAGAACTAAAATGAGATGCTGTATTTAGAAGTAAAATTAGGGGGGCTCTTGTGGCCTAGAGGTTAAGGTGTTGGCCTCTCATTCAAAGGTCCCGGGTTCGAATCCGGATAGCAAACGAAACATTTTCTTCTCTAAAATTGTCTCCTTTCACCTTTCCTGCTCTCTAGCAATGTTCTGTTGTCTGCTTTCATTTCCATTTTCTGCCCCCACCCCCTCACCTCCTTTGCCCCTTCCTCTGGGCTCCTGACTCTTTCTGCAGCCTTTCTACTGCTACTCCTTGGCTCCTCCTTACTGCTGTCTTTCTGCCACACCCCTGATCTTCTGGTAGGAAAGATCTACACCTAGCCTTCTTGGACAAGGGCGAAAAATCTCGGAGGGCCCGTGTGCAAGTTGCGCACGTTAAAGATCCCTTGGTGGTCTAAAATCAATAAGAGTAGGCTTCGGCCGCCACCCGGGCAAAATTCAAAATTTGCTACCAACTGAAAATATTAGGTGTGTCCCGCGCGCTCATATGACCTTATGCAGTTGCGAGCGCCGTAAAACACTTTACAAAAACAAAACACAGTAAATTTATTAATTAATTTATGAATAGCACACTGTGTTTCAGATATCGGTAAAAGTTTTGTATTCAGTGAATGTAAAGTTTGTGTTTTCTTTCTAACAGATCCAGAGTTGAAGCCTTTTCCCCAGACCTATGCCACCTCATTGTTTTCATTTCTTTACCATCTGGCCAGCTATGAAAGTGGTGAGTGTTTTGTTTTTGTGGATATTAGAGGTTTACCCTTGAAAAAATTAAGAGCTTGTTGTGAAATAAGGTACAAAATCTTAAAGAGGTTTGTTTTCAAGTGTCAGGGCAACAGTTGAATGTAGACTTGAGTTTACTTAATTTGTCACGAGACAATGAGTTTGGTCAATAGGTGAATTGAGGGGTTTCAGCTTGGTTGGTAAAAAAATGTGTTCTAATTTTTAAAAAGACTAATTTCACTATCTTGAATGAGTTTCTTTTGAATTCAAGAGTGCATGTTTTTGTGAAAGTCTAATTTTCCTGTTTATCTTAAGTAAAAGCGGAGAAATTGTAGGAATTTTACTTGACACTGGCGAACAGCTACTGAAATTTGTGCAAAGAGATTGTAAGTCATTGCTCTATTCTTGAAAGTTTGATGCATATAATGGTTTTGTGATGAAATCTGCAGGTGTGGAGGCTCTGGTCTCTTGTGGCATGATGGAGTCCTTGCTCAAAGTCATCAACTGGTATGGTGATGGACAAGAGCACATCACGGTAACTATTTCCTTTTTTTCTTTTCTTTCTTTTCTTTTCTCTCTCTCTCTCTCTCTCTCTTTTTTTAAATTTTGAGTTTTATACTGACCTGTCATCAGGTGAACATAATAGTTATTGTTCAAAGCTTGGGTCATGAATGGAACTGTCTTTCTTTTGGTAAAAACATAAGTTTGTTCCATTTCTTTTTTGCTTCTATGTTGACCCTGATCTCCTTGTCTGTGTTGTGGGGGTGATGCAGGAATATTGTGTCCGAATGCCAGCAGTTTATTTTGATGGAATGGGCTTACTGAACCCCATGGTCACTGTCTTCTGAATGGTTGTAATTTCCTAACACAGTTTATTAGACTTTTGTGCTGTATTTTTTTTTTTACAGTCGAACCTGTTCTAGCGACCACATCTCTAAGATAGTCGATAATAGATGGTCCTCCTGGAAAGGTTCAATTACATTTGAATGCGATGAAGAAATGGCACTTGTCAAGTTGAAAGAAAGCTCCATACTTTTCAATTAGTCCTTTTTTAAAAATCAGATTTTTTGGGGTTTATCTGTTACGTACAGTCTATGGTATAACCGAAAATAATAGTATGCTGATTGCTTTGTACATTTCGATTATTTCAGTTTGTGACACGAGCAGTGCGTGTTATTGATTTGATCACAAACATGGATATGGCAGCTTTCCAAGCTCTGGGAGGTCTTCAGGCTTTCATCAACAGGTTGGAGGTAGGTATCACTGCTAATGTACTTTGACCTGTTAGGTTTTTTTTTGTTTTGTTTTTGCAGGCCGGTGTTTTTCTCTTTAAGCTATGTTGACCTTGTTTTGAGAGAGGGAAAGTTTTCATATGCCGTATCCCTCTTTTTTTTAAAGGAGGAAATAAATTAAATAACTTTTTATAAGATAATGACATCTTTGTATCAGAGGTTCGTTAAGTAATGAAAACTAGACTGCTGTTTACCACAAAATGTTATAATTTTCTCCATGATGTTTTACAAGCATATGTCCGATCAATTTGATGTGTGGACAAATTTTGCTGAGAGAAAGATGATGCATCAAAACTCTTTTTTAAAATGTCCATTTATCTGTTATGAGGCATTTGTACATGTACAAACACCTTGTCATAATACGATGCAGAAAAGACGAATAATGTAGGAGGTTTTAGAAGCGCTTTTTTGTTGTTGTGATACGTAATTTTTCAGTGCTTCTATGTTGAAGGGGATTTTCTTTTTTGAGCAAATGTATCAACACTACTTTCCTTGTGTTGATATTATTTATGCATAAAAAAAATACAACTGTTTGGTTTGCTGAAAATGTTCAATGCTGTCCATTCAGCTCTATTGACATTTTAAATTCCTCTAATTTAGGACTTTTCATATTGATTTGTGGATTTACACACACACATGCTCTCGCACACACACACAGATTGTGACCTAATATGATTTTGCTCCTGGGTCTCGTTGCAGCATGAAGTGAACATCTGCCGCGTGGAGCAGCCATACGTGCACCGTCCAGGTAACCAGGCAGACACCTCTGTGGACGGGAACCCGGACTCCCCCTCAGTGACCCCCATGGACGTGAGCATGGAACAATCTCAGCCCGAGGTTGAGGCGGAGGCCATTGACGGCCTGGACGCGGAACCGGTCGACGCCCCAGTATTAGAGATCCCAGTGCCCTGTGGCTCCTCTCAAAGCCTTGCTGCCGGCGGTTACAAGTCCCAGGCAGACGATGCGGTTATGGGTGTGAAGAAAAGTAAGTGTGGCTGTCGTGCTTGTAGTTCGCTTACTATGGTAAGTTGTCTCGGTGATGGACTGCTGTCAGTGATCCCCCCCCCCCCCCCCCCATATGACCGTATGCAGTTGCGAGCGCTGTAAAACGTCTACTAAAACAAACAAAGTGATTCCCCCCACCTCGTTCTGTTTTCCCCACTTGTTCCGTTACTGAATTTTGTTGCGTTGGACTATGTTACAGTTCATTCTCACTAGATTTTCTCAAAGTGGGGGGGGTTTGTACCTTTCTTTCTTTTGTTTTCTATTTGTTGATTTATTTTTAACATGTCTGCACTTTTCAGCTGAAAAATGATTTTATGGGGGTCATTTTGGGTGGATCTGCCCCCCCCCCCCCACAGGTAATGAAACTTGGACTCTATTGCAAAGGTACCTGTTATCGTTTCTCAATGATGTTTTACAAGCATATGTCCGATCAATGTGATGTGTGGACAAGTTTTGCTGAGAGAAAGTTTGTATATCAAAACTTCGTTTAAAAAAAAAAAGATCATTTGTGTGTTAGGGGAGCATTTTTGGTATTTAGTTTACATGGTCGTTTGATGCAGAAAATAAGAATTATGTACAGAGGTTTTTTTAGATGTCCTTTTTTTTTTGTTACCTGAGTGGTGTACTGCTGTCTTTGCAGATTGGGAAGGTTGCCGCTGCTGTCATTGATTCTTTGCCTTATTCTGTTTTCCTACCCGTTCCTTCGCGTTTCTTGTCATGTTACAATAATGTGCAATGCTTTCCCTGCAGACATTCTCCCCCCCCCCCCCCCCTAAAAAAACCCCCATACCTTTATGGCCTCAAAACGGGATTTTTGTGTTGTTGGCAATTCTTCTCAAGTAATGAAAATTGGGCTGTTTTCTATTGCAAAGATATCTGTTATCATTCCTCAATGATGTTTTACAAGCATATGTCCGATCAATGTGATGTGTGGACAAATTTTGCTGAGAGAAAGTTTCTACATGAAAACTTATTGTTTATAAACGGTCATTTATGTGTTGTGGGCATAATATACATGGTAGTGTACATCATCATATAATGAAGAAAATAGAAAGTACTTTTTTTGTTACCTGAGTGGTGTACTGTTGTCTCTGTTGATCAGGAAGGTTGCACTCTGCTGTCATTGATTCTTCGACTATGGTGTGTTTTCTCTTCCGTTCCTTGTTTCTGGTCATGTTAATGTGTTGCAGTTCTTTCTCAGCACAAGCGCGCGCCCGCCAGCCCCCGCCTATACTTTATGACTCCAAAATGATTTTTTGTTTTGTTTTTGGTAGTAATTCTAGAATTCTAGGTTAAGTAATGAAAATTGGGCTGTTCTCTAGCATAAAGATGTCTGTAATCGTTTCTCGGTGATGTTTTACAAGCATATGTCCGATCAATGTGATGTGTGGACAAGTTCTGCTGAGAGAAAGTTTGTATTACAAAACTTCGTTTTTAAAAAACAATCATTTGTGTGTTAGGGGGGCATTTTTGGTTTTTATTATACTTTGTTATTTGATGCAGAAAATAGGAATTATGTAGAGAGTTTTGGAGATATCCTTTTTTTTGGTTACCCGAGTGGTGTACTGCTGTCTTTGCAGATTGGGAAGGTTGCCGTTGCTGTCATTGATTCTTTGCCTTATTCTGTTTTCCTACCCATTCCTTCCCGTTTCTTGTCATGTTACAATAATGTGCAATGCTTTCCCAGCAGACTTTCTCACAACCCCCCCCCCCCCTTTTTAAAAAACAAAAACAAAACCTTTATGGCATCAAAAGGTTGTTTTTTGTTATTGGCAATTCTTCTCATGTAATGAAAATTGGGCTGTAGAACTCTATTACAAAGATGTTTGTTATCATTCCTCAATGATGTTTTACAAGCATATGTCCGATCAATGTGATATGTGGACACGTTTTGCTGAGAGAAAGTTTGTACATCAAAATTCATTGTTTTGAAACGATCATTTATGTGTTCGTGGGCATAATATACATGTAAGTATACATCATCTTATGGTGAAGAAAATAGGAAGTACTTTTTTTTGTTTGCTACCTGAGTGGTGTACTGTTGTCTTTGCGTTGCGAATCAGGAAGGTTGCACGCTGCTCTCATTGATTCTTCAACTATGGTGTGTTTTCTCTTCCGTTCCTTGTTTTTTTGTCATGTTTATGTGTTGCAGTTCAGTTCTTTCTCAGCAGAGTTTCACAAGCCCCCTGCCCTTTTTTTTTACCCTCGTCTATGCTTTACGGCTCAAAAATGATTTTTTGGGTGGTAATTCCTGGTGAAGTAATGAAAATTGGGCTGTTCTCTAGCATAAAGATGTCTGTAATCGTTTCTCGGTGATGTTTTACAAGCATATGTCCGATCAATGTGATGTGTGGACAAGTTTTGCTGAGAGAAAGTTTGTACATCGAAACTATTTTTTAAAAAAATGACCATGTAAGTGTTAGGAAGTTTATATATTGTCATATGAGGCAGGAAGTGGAGAGTTTTGTGGAAGTATTCACATTTTTGGTTACCAGAGTGATGTACTGCTGTTGTTGCAGATCAGGAAGGCTGGACGCTGCTGTCGTTGATTCTTCAACCTTTTCTGTTTTTTCACCAGTTCTTTGTTTCTTGTCATGTTTAGACGTGTTGTGTTGCAGTTCTTTCTCGGCAGATTTTCACTAGCCCCGCTTTTTACTACCTGTCTACTTTTATAGATCAAAAACGATGTTTTTTTTGGGGGGTAATTTTTGATGGATCTGCCTACTTAAGTAATGAAAATTGGGCTGTTCTCTAGCACAAAGAATTCTGTAATCGTTTCTCAATGATGTTTTACAAGCATATGTCCGATCAATGTGATGTGTGGACAAATTTCACTGAGAGAAAGTTTGTACTTTAAAACTTTTTTTGGGATCATTTATAAGATAGGAAGCATAGACATCGTCATTTTAGGCAGGAAATTGGGATTGACATAAAGTTATGCGGAAGTACTCATTTTGTTTGTTACCTGAGTGGTGTGTGTACTGTTGTCTTTGCGGATCAGGAAGGTTGCACGCAGCTGTCATTGATTGTTCAACTATGGTGGGTTTTCTCTCCCGTTCCTTGTTTCTTGTCATGTTAATGTGTTGCAGTTCTTTCTCAGCAGACTTTCACAAGCCCCCCCCCCCCTTTCTTTTACCCCTGCCTATGCGTTATGGCTCAAAAATGATTTTTTTTTTTGTGGTGGTAATTCTAGATGAGGTAATGAATATTGGGCTGTTCTCTAGCATAAAGATGATGTCTGTAATCGTTTCTCGGTGATGTTTTACAAGCATATGTCCGATCAATGTGATGTGTGGACAAGTTTTGCTGAGAGAATGTTTGTGCATCAAAATTATTTTTTTTTTATAACCATGTATGTGTTAGGAAGTATACATGGTCATATGAGGCAAGAAATTAGCATTTATGGAGAGTTTTGCGGAAGCACTCAATTTTTTTGTTTCCTGATACATGTACTGCTGTTGTTGCAGATCAGGAAGGTTGCACGCTGCTGTCGTTGATTCTTCAACATGTTGTTTTTTACCGGTGCCTTGTTCCTTGTCATGTTAGACTTGCAGTTCTTTCTTAGCAGATTTTCACAAGCAGCCCCCCCCCCCCCCCCCCATACCTGTCTACTTTTATAGCTCAAAAACCATGATTTTTTTGGGTGGTAATTCTTGGTGGATCTGCCTACTTAAGCGATGAAAATTGGGCTATTCTCTAGAACTTATCGTTTCTCAATGATGTTTTACAAGCATATGTCCGATCAATGTGATGTGTGGACAAATTTCGCTGAGAGAAAGTTTGTACATGAAAACTTGTTTGGGGGGACCATTTATGTGATAGGAGGCATAAACATCGTCATATGAGGCAGGACATTAGGAATTATGTAGAACGTTTTGCAGAAGTACTCTATTTTTTGTTACCTGAATGGTGTATACTGTCATTGATTCATTGAAATGTTCTGTTTTCCCACCCATTTCTTCCTGTTTCTTGTCTTGGTAGACCATGTTGCAGTTCTTTCTCCTCCAAGTCGTTTTATCGTCATGGTGCATGTATCTGTGTGCTTCTTTTCCGAGGGCGGAAATGATTTTGAAAGTGAGAGATTACTGTAAGGATGACATTGACATCGTTATTTCTCAAAACTTGATATTTATATTATCTTCTCAATTAATTTTTATTACATTTTTATTACAGATTTACACTGCTTTGCCCAGAGAGCTGCTTTACTGAAATCTATGCTGAACTTCATGAAGAAAGCTATTCCCGACTTGTCCTTTGCAGATAGCATAAGGCATCGTAAGTGGCTTGGCTTGTGTTTGTCCCAACAGATATTTCAGTTTGTCTGAAGTATGTTTTGAAATTCTCACTAGAGGGTGGTTAGAGAGTGCCACTTGTTGGTCCCATTTCTTTCCTTTCCCTTTGTTGTTTCTGTCTGTCTTGCTTCTTCCGTGCGCAATATGACTGGGTGGTTGGCGGGTGCTCTGATTTGGTTTGCTTCTTCTTTCCTGTCAAACATCTATCGCCCTTATCTCCCCTTCTTTTTTATGTTTGTTACTCTCTTGTTACACTTGTAGCACCTCTAATCTTCTGGCGCTCATATGACCTTATGCTGTTTTGAGCGCCGTAAAACCTCTACTAAAACTAAATAATATGACTGTTAATATGTAGAGATGCTTCGCCTTTTCTGTTATCTAGTTACATTCTTTCACTGTTTATTGTTACCTTGTATGAACCTTGACAACAATGTAGATAGTCTATTTCTAATGGTTTGATTTTTGTCATTTTTCAGTGATGGATGGCTCTCTGCCCACTTCCCTAAAGCACATCATCAGCAATGCAGAGTATTATGGGCCATCTCTTTTCCTACTGGGTAAGTGGACATATGGTTTACATAGCTCACATCCATTACTGATGGTTGTATTTGTATCACGTCCTGATTTTGTGACATAGCATTTGTGCAAGAAATGTTAAGATGATATCACGACTACTATTGCTGTTTTGAAAAACTAGAATAAGTTTCAGCATTGTTCTTTAAAAAAAATTGCAAACTCATTTATCCTCTTCTATCTGGAGTGCAGCCGAGTGTTTCTGTTTTTCTTTTTTAGTCTTTATGGATAATAGGGTAATAGACAAGCATATGTCTGATGAACTTCATGTGTGGACAATTTTGCTGAGAGAAAATTTGTTTAAAGTTTATAGCTGACATTATTTGATTAGATTGTCTTTTCTTCTGTTTTCTTTCTCAAGAGTCTTGCAATTGCACTTTGGTTTGTTGTACGTTGGGACAAAGCTTTTTGTGATACTGAAGAAAGGTTCTCACTTGTTTTTGGTTGTATTTCAGCAACGGATGTGGTCACTGTTTACGTCTTTCAAGAACCCTCTTTGCTTTCATCTTTGCAAGACAAGGGACTCACAGATGTGGTGTTGCATGCATTACTCATCAAAGATGTGAGTGGTAACAAAACACTACCTCAGAATTACAAAGTTCTATCTGCTCAGTACCTAGGTTGTTTTTTTTTGGGGGGGGGGGGTGTCTCAGAAATTGACAAAAAATTTTTTTTTAGTTTCACAGCATGTCAAGCCCTTTTCGTATGCAATTCTGTGATTATCTTGATAACAACTCTGAATAATCTTACAATTTTGATAGAGCAGATAGAACATTTGGTTTCTGACTGCTTGGTCTTCGTAACTCAAAACAGTTAAAAATGTCAGATAGAACTTTGCAATTTTTAGGTATCGAAATGCATAAATGAAATACTTATCATGGACCCTCCTCACCCCCCAAAAAATAACAAAAATAAAGATTTCAATCATTCCTACATGTTTATGTTGTATTATCATGGCAGACATAGCAATGCAGTATTGTGCTTTCTATTATTAGCTACATGCTGTACATGATGTTTTCAAGCACGTGTCGTAAAAGTTTTTCTTTGACGATCAAATTATCTGACACAGCATGAGTTATTTCTAATACGCTTGTAATTGACAACTGTTCCTTAAAAAAATACATTGTTCAGAAATAAAGGGGTACAAAAGGAAATGTCAGGAGATCTATTTTGGGATCTAAAAAAAAGTTTGTAAGAATGTTTTTTTGTTTGTTCTATAACTAAGTGTGAATTAAGATCTTATCATACGTAAGAATGTTTTTTCGTTCTATAACTAAGTGTGAATAAAGATCATATCATACAGTTAAGTAAATTTGAAATTACCGTACATCACACTATTTTCACCAATGTTCTTGCTCATTTACATTGAATAGCTGCTTAGCTATTGTCTCAGGTTATTTTGTAATGCCTTAAAGTTCTGGACTCATATTTTATGAATAAGTTTTAATGTTTATCGTTCAGGTCCCAGCAACCCGCGAGGTGTTGGCCTCATTGCCCAACGTATTCAGCGCCTTGTGCCTGAATGCCAGAGGACTGGAGGCTTTTGTGGCCTGCAAACCATTTGATCGGGTTTTCAAGGTTCTTCTGTCCCCCGACTATCTGCCGGCCATGAGGCGACGCAGAAGCTCGGAGCCATTTGGTAAGTATTTTTCTGCCACCAGGACGGATGTTTCAGTAACGCATGTCATGCTCGTACTGTGCCGGAACAATATAGAGGGAACTGCTGCTTTTTCTTTCCTCATCCTTACTATCGTCATTTTCCTCTTCTTCTTTTGCATGTTTGTCACTCTCTTGTGAACTGCTATTTCCGGGGTGCCTTGATAGTTGAAGCAGACTTTGTGCTGTTCAGGCTAGAGAGGTCATCAGAGTAAGCCTGATTCCCCGCTTGGACTTCTGTTGACATCCACCCTTGGCGTTCATATGATCTTATATAGTTGCAAGCTCAATAAAAAACAAAAAACCCGCCCCCCCAAAAAGTAGCACATTGCGGATGATGTTGCTTAAGTTTCTGTTTCTCTGTGATGTTTTCAAGCACGTGTCAGAAAAAGGTACAGATCTTTTGATGAGAATCCTTACTGAGAGAAACTTAAGAAGATACTATTTCAGCTTGGCATGGAAATAAAAACTGGGTCAACTATGTTCATAAACAACACGGCAGAGAAGCAGCAGCATTTATGAATTTTTTATATTATATCTTGATTTTTAGTTGTCTTTCGATTGTTTCCGAAATAGAACTTAAAGTGGACATTTTGTATTTTAATTTTTTGTTTTTTGTATAGAAAAAAAAAAGTCGAATTTGGTAGAGGTGAACATGTTCATTAAACCCTTCTGGTCATTTTCCTGGCTGCCATCTTAGCTGTTCAGTGCTATTTTTTTACGCAGTACCCAGTATAATAGTGAATTTTGACTACTGTTCTGCTGACTTGTCAAATAACAGTTTCACAGATGCATTTCTTTTTAGTCTGTGCTACAAGGCACTTATATGACTGTAATAGACCAAAGGCTGTACTTATTTGAACATGCTGCCGTCTATCTTGAGTAGGGCTGAGGAAAGCCATAGTCCTTTTTTGCTACTGCATATCGCAATCTTTTCTTTTTTTTTTTTTTTTTTTCTGAATGACCAACCCTATTAGTGTTTTTAGAGTGCGTCAGAGTTTGGAAAATTGTAGAAGTTTGAGAATGAATGAAGACACATGGTCTCTTGTTAATTTGCGCTATTTATTAATTGGTTGGTTTCTGGGACAAAAGAAGTATTCTTTCTGGTCTGCGGTACTAAATAGTCACTGTGCTGATATCCAACAAAACAGCTGTTTGAAATATTTTTCCTGTTTGTATTGACTTTATGCTGTCCATGATGTTTTCAAGCACGTGTCGTAAAAGGCTATGTTCTTTGACGATCCAAATTTCTGACTGTCAGCAAGAACCTTATAACTATTAGAAAAGTGGTCACATACTTTTAAATTGCAGTCTGAATGTATATTAGATATAAGTGATAAGTATTTTAGGCAGGGGTGGTGTCATTTTTCAAATTCAATACTTTCTTATTATAAAGGTTTTTGAGTGCTCAGTCGTTTTAGCTTTCTGGCTGGTCAGTGCTACTTTTTCCCAAGTACCCAATAGCAAGGCTGAGAGAAGCCTTGCTGCTTATTACTACAGTAAGGTGGAATGTTAATAGGGTTAAAAAACAAATTTTTTTCCGAATGACGTACTCTATTAATGTTTCGAGAATGGTTAGAGTAGGACAAATTGTTAGATTTTGAGATTGGGTTTAGCCTACATGTTTATTTATGTTTTTAATTAATTGGCTAGTTTCTGAGGCGATAAAAGAACTATTCTTTCTGATCTGTGGTACTAAATAGTTTCTATGCTGATATCAATGCAGTTACTGTTAAAAGGACAAAACAGCTGTTGGAAATAATTTTCCCGTTTTTATTGGCTTTATGCTGTCCATGATGTTTTCAAGCACGTGTCGTAAAAGGCTATGTTCTTTGACGATCAAAATTTCTGACTGTCAGCATGAACCATTTAATCATAAGAAAAGTGGTCACATACTTTTAAATTTCAATCTGAAAATATATTAGATATATATAAGGAATAAGTATTGGGGGGGAGGAGGGGGCGTTTTTCAAATGGCATACATTCTTGTAATTGAGGCTGTTGAGTGCTCAGTTGTTTCAGCTTTTTGGCTGTTCAGTGCTACTGTTTTACACAGTACCCAATAAAATAGTGAATTTTGAATATTGTTCTACCAACTTGCCCAACAATTGTTCCACCAATGCATTTCTTTTGTAATGCGTGTTACAAGGCACTCTCGTGACGGGAACAGACCAAAGGCTGTACTAATTTACTCTTTTTAACACTATTACCTTGCAGCCTTCTTGCTGAATATTGCAGTAAGGGGGGGGTGATTTTTTAACTTTTTAAAATTAAAATGTATTTTTCTGAATGATGTACCCGATTAATGTTTCGAGAGTGGGTTATTAGAGTTGGGAAAATAGTTAGATTTTGAGAGTGGATTTAGCCCACATGATCTCTAGTTTATTTGCACTATTAATTGAATGCCTACTTTCTGAGACAATAAAAAAAGAAATATTCTTTGGGGTCTGTGGTACTAAATAGTCACTACGCTGATACCCATGCAGTTACTGTTTAAAGAACAAAACAGATGTTGGAAATATTTATTTCCTGTTTATATTGGCTTTATGCTGTCCATGATGTTTTCAAGCACGTGTCGTAAAAAGGCTATGTTCTTTGACGATCCAAATTTCTGATGTCAGCATGAACCTTAACTATTAGAAAAGTGGTCACATACTTTTAAATTGCAGTCTGAAAGTATATTAGATATAAGTGATAAAAGTATTTTAGGTGGGGGTGGTGTCATTTTTCAAATTCAGTACATTCTTATTAAGGTTTTTGAGTGCTCAGTTGGTTTAGCTTTTTGACTGATCAGTGGTATTTTTTCCTAAGTACCCAATAGAATAGTAAATTTTGTATACTGTTCTGCCGATTTTCCAAAGAATGGTTTTCACGGATACATTTCTTTTTAATGCATGCTACAAGGCACTATCATGACTGTAACAGACTGCGCTCTATACTGAACTCTTTACCTTGAGTAAGGGGGAATGTTAATGGGGTTTAAAAAATTTTTTGTTTCGAATGACGTACTTGATTAATGTTTCGAGAGTGGATTAGAGATATACAAATTGTTAGATTTTGAGATTGGGTTTAGCCTACACTGTTTTTATTGGCTTTATGCTGTCCATGATGTTTTCAAGCACGTGTCGTAAAAGGCTATGTTCTTTGACGATCAAAATTTCTGACTGTCAGCATTAACCGTTTAATCATAAGAAAAGTGGTCACATACTTTGAAATTTCAGTCTGAAAGTATATTAGATATATATAAGTAATAAGTATTTTAGGCAGTGTGTGTTTGTGTGTGTGTGTGTGTGTGTGTGCGCACGCGCACATTCAATACATTCTTATAATTGAGGTTGTTGAGTTCTCGGTTGTTTCAGCTTTTTGGCTGTTCAGTGCATCTGTTTTACACAGTGCCCAATAAAATAGTGAATTTTGAATACTGTTCTGCCAACTTGCCTAACAATAGTTCCACCATTGCATTTCTTTTGTAATGCGTGCTACAAGGCACTCAGGTGACGGGAACAGACCAAAGGCTGTACTAATTTCAACTGACTGCACACTATATTGCACTCTTACCTTGCAGCCTTCTTGCTGAATATTGCAGTAAGGGGGGTGATTTTTGTTGTTGTTTTTTTTTTTTTTTTTATTTTTCTGAATGATGTACCCGATTAATGTTTCGGGAGTGGTTTAGAGTAGGGCAAATAGTTAGATTTTGAGAATGGGTTTAGCCTACATAATCTCTAGTTTATTTGCGCTATTGATTGATTGGCTACTTTCTGAGACAGTAAAAGAAATATTCTTTCGCGTCTGTGATACTAAATAGTCACTACGCCAATATCCATGCAGTTACTGTTTAAAGGACAAAACAGATGTTGGAAATATTTTTCCTGTTTATATTGGCTTTATGCTGTCCATGATGTTTTCAAGCACGTGTCGTAAAAGGCTATGTTCTTTGACGATCCAAATTTCTGACTGTCAGCATGAATCTTTTAACTTTTAGAAAAGTGGTCACATACCTTTAAATTGCAGTAATTATAAACATTTGTTGGGGGGTGTTGGTTGGAGATGTTGGGTTCATTTTCCAAAATTCAATACATTCTTGTAATGGAGGTTGTTGAGTGCTCAGTGGTTTAGACACAGACTTTTTGTTTTGTAGGAAAGAAGGAATTTGTATCGTAGCTTGGAAGATGTGATGGGTGTGTTCAGTTCCTTCAATTTTGCTGTTTTATGCCTGCAGGCTTTGTCAACTGCAAAGTAACTACTGTTTTGCGCCCAGATCATCCTACATTTTTTTGCCCATCGACTTGCACAACTTAGATGCAACCCCCCCCCCAAAGTTTTGTTCTGCCAGTTCACCTTTTCAGCAGAGTCTCTATGATGCTTACAAGCATATGTCTGAAGATAATTATGAAGACACATTTACTGAGGGACTCGTCATCTTTTTTTTTATCTTACTATATTTTGAAAATAATGTAACAGACACATGAAGGAGGTCATGGTTACATTGTCTTTTTAAGGAGGCTCGTGGTATTCTATTTTTTTTTTTTTGTGTTCTTGAAAACCAATGTAAGTTGCCAATTATTGGAAGAATGCAGCAGCAGGCCATACATGTTGCTGCTCCTGTTGTTTATTGGGTCACGCTGTTTTTCAGAGACAGGTCTGTAAACCCTGATTTTTGTGTTTTTGTTGCCTGCAGGAGATACAGCCAGCAATCTGGGCAATGCCATGGATGAACTGATGCGGCACCAACCGTCCTTGCGCACTGGTGCCACCAAGGCCATCGTCAAGGTGAGTAGTTGTGTGTTGTACTAGACTTTTGGATGTAGTAAATACAGTTGAACCTGTTCAAAATGACCGTCCATTGTTGAGGAGAAAAGTGGTCATCTTAGACAGGTAGTCCTCTTGGACAGTGTCACTATCAAATACTCTTAGAAAAAAATGCAAGGAGAGAAGGGGGGGGGGGGGTGGTTCTTTGTACAGGTAATTGTCTTTGGCAGGTGTTCATTATCGCAGGTTCGACTGTAATTGTATCTTTTGTGGGTTCTTAAGCTCTCCCACATAAGTTGTGGCTTGCTTCCGTATCTGTGTGTAGTATCCTATTTACTATTTTTTTAAAGTCTTTATGCTACCTGCAGGATTTGATTAATTAAAAGCTTTGTAAGTGTGCTTGCAAAGTTCACCTTTACACAAAAAGTCTCTATGATGCTTACAAGCATATGTCTGAAGATGCGTCTTGTGAAGACACTTTTACTGAGGGACTCATTAGATGTCATAATTACTGGCATCAAACAACTTTGTTATAAATGATTTTTAATTCGATTTGATATTTGTTGTTTCATGTGTGCTTGGATAGTGCTTTGCTTTTTTAAAATTCTATTTTCTCTGTTCTGGTGCCTACTTACTAACTAGGATACTTGGAATTTTAATGTTTGTTTTCCCATGTATTCTTGGAGGTGACAAACTGCACTCGCGCAATCTTCAATTTTATCATGAGCAAAATTTGTTATATTATGCATAGCTGATAAGCTTTTCCTGCATTTGATTTTGATCTTCTGTACAAAATGTTTCGAGTATTGGATGCTTGGCTTAAGTGTTATTGTTGTTTCTCTAGCTTTTGTCACATTTGTTTTGTCGTGAGTGGTTGGCTGGTGCTTTAGTGTGGTTTGCTCCTTCTTTCCTGTCAAGCATCTATATTCCTTATCTCTCCTCATTTTCTTTGAACAGTATGTTACTCTTTAGTAATCATTCTAATCTTTGGCACTTTTATGATCTATTTGTGTTGCAAGTGCCTTAAAAACTCGTACTAAATCTAAAGTGTATTTATTTTCAGCTTCTGGAGGAAATTTGCTCCATGGGTCAAAACTCGCAGTTCATTTGCCAGAAACAGCAGCCCAAATCTGATGCTGCGTCTGCCCAAGTGACCAATGTGCGGTCGCCTCAGTCGAACGAGGCTAGCTCCTCGGATGAAGAAGAAGACGAAGAGGTGGAGATGCCTCACATGCCCCGGTCCATCACGGCCTCGGCTCACATCACCTCACAGGGCAACAAGCCGGCGGCCCCTGCTGCACAGAGTGAACCATTGTAAGGAGCCGTGTATAATAATAATAATAGATAGCATTTGTATAGCGCAAATCCCCGCTCAACAACAGGCTCTATGCGCTTTACACTATATTATTACCCCAGCAGACCATAGAACACACCGAAACATTCTCAGCTTCCCGGGAAGCATACAGTGCAAGCAGCTGATTAAGCGCTCAAACACTCACATACTGACAAGATCTTTCGCTGTCTATAGCCGGGTACCCATTCCCACCTGGGTGAAGTGAGGAAAATTCGTGTAAAGTGCCTTTCCCAAGGACACAACGTCGGGTCCCTGACGGGATTCGAACCCTCGACCTTACGGTTGCGAGTCCGAGAGCCTAACCACTAGGCCACCGACGCCACTTGACGATTTTATTAATTCAGTCATTACTGATTGCAGGAGTAGCTCAGACGTTGGCTGGTGCCCTGGTGTGGTTTTCTCTCCTTTTTTTTCCTGTCAAATATCTATTGTCCTTATCTCTCCATCTCCTTTTTTAAATGTTTGTTACTGTCTTGTAATACCTCCTATCTTCATCTCTTATATGACTTAATTGTGTTGTAAGTGCCGCAGAACTCTTACTATAATGAAAAAAAAAAAAAAAAATTAGGTGTTTTGAACACTTTGCTTAAGTCCAAACTATGGAAGGGGTTGGTGTCAATGAGTTACTGGCTTTGAGCGTTGAATACAATCTGTTTGCTTCACAGCCCCATTGATAATGAATAGCTGATGGAGTCGGGGGGGCGAGTGGGTCGGCTCTCAGACTCGCCGTAAGGTTGTGGGTTTGAATCCTGTGATGAGGCCTGGGGTTGTGTCCTTGGGAAAGACATATTACACAAATTATCCTTACTTCACAAAGGTGGAAATGTGTACCCAGCTATAGGCAGCGAAAGATCTTGTCAGTTTATTATTGTTTGTATGCTTAGCACTCTGCTTCCGGGAAAGCCGAGAATGTTTCTTAGGATTTTTAGATCTGCTGGACAATTGTAAAATGCATAGAGCATGCTGTAGGGGGGGGGGGGGGGGTATCCTGATACAACTACGATCATATTGTTTGGTTCGTATTTTGTTTCCCGAAAAAGAACTCACGAATGAGACAGGTTTGATGATGAACTCACTCTAGACAAGCATATGTCTGACATGAAATTGAGTGATGCTTATGTTCTGAAAGTAAATTTGAAAAAAGGGCATATTCTCTTCGATGTCATTGGATTCAAGTATCATTCTTCCGTAAATTGCTTTTTGGAACTCCTTTATTCATGCTATTCACTAAGCGTTCATGCTAATGTAAAGTATTATAGACTTGAAGGTACTAGTGGTTTTGAAAAAAAATTGCTTCTATATCTTTTGAATTTATTTCTTTTTTTCAGAAACCAAGAAAGACAAGCAATACCTCTGATGGATTATGTATTGAATGTGGTGAGTTTTTTAAATCTGATGTTCTTATATTGATATGTGACTATCTCAGTGGGACATACAGTAGTTGTTTTTGTTGTTGTTGTTGTTGATCCAGCAACAGTTGGGCTCTCGCCCTTCTATCCACTGCCATGTAGTGATAAGTACAGGTTTGCTGATATTCTAAAGTGTTTTGTCAGTGTTAGGTCTCAGAGGGAGAAGGGTAGCTCTGATAATCATCCAGAGCTGTGCAGGGGAACAGGTGATGATCCACAGTCTTGAACGTGTAGTGAGACGAAGGACACATTGGGGGAAGTTCTGGTTTTACTGTTTTATGTACTGATTGTTGAGTAAAAACACGCGCATTAACATTTTTTTTTCAATTCTGTTTGAGTGGAAGTTATGCTGTATCTGTTTGCAGATGAAGTCTATGAAAGGGAAATTTTTTTAGAATGCATTGTTTTGAACCTTGGGCAGGTTGTCAGTTCTGTCTCAAGATAAGCCAATGCAAGATTAAATTGACTCTCGAGCCCTTACAAAGTCAGAATGCTTGTTTCTTGGCTTATTGGGCAAGGAGACTACAGGCAGTTTCAAAGTAAATCGTATGTGGCTTTACTGAGTTTTTTTTCTCTTTTTTCTTGTCCATTTCATTATTTACATTACAAAACCTTTGTCTTAGACATGTGAGTCTGATTTCAGCCGTAGGGTGTGCACTTAATTGGAATAAGTTGTCTTGAGGTTTGCATAAATGATCTTGAATATATGAGCGCATGTTTATGTATGTGTGTGTATGAGTAGGTGAGTGTTTCAGTGTAATAGTATGAGATGCTGGAGCAGAATAGAGAAGAAGAAAGTTGGAAACCCCTTACAAAGCAGTTCTTTGATGTTGTTGTTACAATATGACCAAGGCGACCTTCTTGGTGTGGAATGAATAAATATCGTAGATTCTGCCCAAGACAACCACCCATTGGGGGGGTGGGGGGTGGTGGAGTGATCCATCTTGGGCAGGATCTCGCTTTCGATAGTGTCCTATAATGATTAAGAACATTTTTTTAAAGTGGGAAGAGGTTTTTTGTACAGGTGATTCGCTACCTCACAATTACAAAGTTCTATCTGCTTGGTACCTAGTTTTGAGAAATTTGATGTTAAAAATTTTTGAGTTTCACAACGTCATGCTTTTTCGAATGCGATTCTTTGAATATCTCGATAACAACTCTGATTAATCTTCTGACTTTGACAGAGCATATAGATCATAATTTGGTTTCTGACTTCATGGTCTTAGTAACTTAATATGGCTAAAAATATCAGATAGAACTTTGTAAGTCTAAGTCCGTGGATTCGCTCGGGACAGGTGGTTGTAAGAGCACAAACGACTGTATTTTCTTGGGTTTTTCCTCTCAGATGAAATTTGTGGAAGCCATTCTGAGTAACAACTCCACCGACGACCACTGCCGGGAGTTTGTGGCCCACAACGGGCTGAAGCCCCTGATGAGCATTCTTGGTCTGCCCAACTTGCCCATAGACTTCCCCACCACGCCGGCCTGCCAGGCTGTCTCCAGTGTGTGCAAGTCCATTCTGGTAGGTTGACTGTTTGTGATATTAGTTTATCATGGTGTTTTTTTGTTTGTGTTTGAGTGCTTAATCGGATGCTTACTTACTCTGTTTGCTTCCAGGGAAGCTGAGATGGTTTCTGGGTATTCTAGGGTCTGCTGGGGTAGTAGTGTAGTGTAAAGTGGGTAGAGCTTGGTGTTGAGTGGGGATATGCCTTTTACAAATGCTGTTTATTATCGATTATTACATTATACAAATGCTATTTATTTATTATTAATTATTATTTTAGATTTATCATCATGTGTTTCTTTGAAGTCACCGATATAGCTTTCTTGGTGATGAATTCAGACTAGACAAGCATATGTCTGAAATCAATATGACTGATTTCTTTGTCCTGAAAGAAAGCGTAGAAAGAAAAAAATAAACTGTAGTAAAAAAAAAAAAAGGCTAAAAAATAAATTGTTTAAAATTTAAAAAGTCACTGATTGTTGTTTCAGTTTGTTTAAGTTTTGATTTTGACAAAATTGAGTGAAGCTTACGTTCTGAAAGGAAACATTTAATATTTATTTAATGCATTGGATTCTTGTATCATTCTTCTTCAAATGGCTTAAATGATGAAGGCCGTTTTCAACTTTAATAACCCATCTTTATGTTGGCTTCAAACTTAAAGGGTCATCCTCAACCCGTGTCCCATTTCCTTCCTTTTCATCAAGTTGTTTAAGGCTTTTTCAGCATATTATTTGGGTGTTTTCCCACATGTCTATAGTGTGAAGGAAATTCTGAACCTCATTGTCTAATACAGTTGGCGGCATTGTCAACTATTGATCATCCTGTCCCATAAGTATGTTGTGATACGATCCAGTAAGCAGATTGCACTGCACATTTCGGAAGTTAACAAAATTGAAGAGTTTTTAGGAGGAGTATCAATCTTTTCGTGATTTCTGCTTGATTTTCTGTGTTCGTTCTTTTTCCTTTAGTTTTTTCTCCCTCAGTGCTGAATGACTGTCATAGTGTCGTGTGTGCTTTCCATTAACCTAGTGAAATTATAGGGTTTGGAATTATATTAGAGTTTTTTTTCTTCTTTTCCCTCTCTTTTCAGACTTTGTCTCGAGAGCCGCAGGTGATGCGCCAGGGTCTGCTCCAGATGAACGAGGTTCTCCAGCAGCTGGAGCCTCTCCACAGGGCCCCAGAGCCTCCGGGGGGTTCGGTTCTCCTTCACGAGTTGGCACAGTGCGGGTCCAGTCCCGATGCCACGCTGTCCCCCAGCGCCACGCCCCTGCTCCATGCTCTGGCTGCTGCCCACGCCTACATCATGATGTTTGTGCACGTCTGCCGCATGGGTCAGGTAGGCTGTTTTGAAAGTTTTGCTTGGGTCACCAGCCTGTGTGTGTTTATGAAAACACTATAGTGGTCTGAAGTCCATGTTGTGTTTATGCCTCTGTTTAAAACTGAAAATTTGTGATTTGACTCTAATCCAGTTTAGTGTTTTAAAAACGAAAGTTCGACTAATTTGGAAAATAGTTTTTTTCCATCTATTTGCCCATTAATTGCTTTTTGACTCAGCTGTGCATTTGTGGGTTGGGAGCATCCCTGTTCAATTATTTATTGGTCAATTCCAGTTTTCTCTGCTCTTTTAAATAACTTTCCTCCCCTTATACTAAATGATTGCTGTGTGGATTCTGTGCACCAACTTGTTTTTAAAGTTAGTTCATCTTTGTGGTGTCAACTCTAATAGCTGGATTGTAAATGAAACCGTACTGCTTGAGGGTCGTAAGACTTAAAATCTTGATGAGGGTATCCATTTTTGAAGAATGCTCAACGTAAGATAGTGGCCACACAGAGAGCTGATTCTCAGGCAACTTAAGGACACATCCACCAACCTCTACATTTATAGATGTGTCTGGCTAAAGTGATGCCTTATGAAGAATGAAGAGGTAGCATTTTTTAACATTTGTATTGATGATGGTAAGGGTCGAGGTAGAAAGTTTAATGGATATTTTTGTGTTTTAACTGGGTCTGGGTTTTAGTGATGACACCACACTGATACCCTTTGGTGATGAGTTATGTGTTGGAAATGAAAGACTTCTACCCAAACTGACAAACAGTTTATATTACAGGCTGACATCCGCACCATCTCCGTCAACAACTGGGGTTCCGACCTGGGTCTGTCGGTGCTCAAGGGGCTGAGCTCCCTCTACAATTCTCTAGTCTGGGAAAGCACTGTGCTCCTGGCCCTGTGTAATGAGGACTACCTGCCCGCCGACTGCCCGTTTGGCCGGGCAGACCTGGAGAAGCTGTTGAGCAAAGATGCCAAAGAGAAGAGTGAGGCCGGGGAAGGCGAGTGTTCTGCGGACAGTAAGATGACCAGCACCACCCCCGCCACAGCGGACGGGAGACCTGCAGAGACGGGACAGCCGCAGCAGCAGTCCGCGGGAACTTCGGGTCTGCCCAGGGGCTCTGGTGAGACTGGTAGTAACGGCGTGAGCGTTGCCATGGAGACGTTGACCACCGGTGAGGAGGGTATGGACACTTCGGAGCCTGCAGCGGCGGCAGCCCCTGGAGCAGTAGGAAGCTCGGCCGCGGACCAGCCGCATCAGCCCGGCACTGCCTCTGGGAGTGAGGGCGCCGCCGCTCGGTCTCTGAACCTGCCGGCCGAGGTGAGCAGCTCGACGTCGTCCACTTCGCTGGAGCTGGACATGCTGCCGGGCCCCGCTGGTCTGTCGGAGGACAAGGACGCCGCCAAGCGGAAGGTGTCGCTGGCCATGCAGGCCCAGCTGAGGCAACTCAAGCCTCTGCTCACCCTCTCCTCCCGCCTGGGCCGCGCCCTCTCTGAGCTGTTTGTGCTGCTGGTCAAGCTGTGCGTCGGCTCGCCTGTCCGACAGCGCCGTTCGCAGCAGCCGCCGCCCACACCCCCTGTACCGTCCCCTGCCGCTAGGGCTGTGGCTCTTGCCCTCACCAAACTCTTGTCGGGGGGTTTGTCTTTCCAGCCACCTCCATGTGCTCCTCAGCCCAAGCTGCGGTGAGATTCTAGAATTTCTAGTCACTGTTTGTTTGCTGTTTTTGGAAATAGTTGTATATTGTCACTAAACAAATAGCCCCCAAAATATTTATTATATCTTCATTACCAGTACTTTTGTGAAGGTTCCTGCTCTGATAGGTTTTCCTGCTCTGGACCCAACTTTGTTTTTGTACATGGTCAGTAACCTCTAGGGAGTTGCTATCATCCATGTGCTGTTGTGGGTAAATAAAACTGCACTTAGTATTGTCATAAACTCAGACTGTATTCTGTATTGAACAGTAACATTGTAATCTGTAAATTGTTTGGTATCCAGTCTGTGCACCAAACAATGAATGAAATTTTGTGTAATTGCATTTTCTTACTGGTTTTTGGTAATCACTTTTTAAGCTAAGAAAGAAATAGGCTTATCACTTTCGTTACTTTTGCAAGATTTTTGTATGATTGAACAATCTATATTATGCACTGTAGTCATGCCCTTGTATTTTCTGGAAAAGTCATTTTTCCATGCCGCAAAAAAGATCTGGTGAAGAAAATGAGATGATGTCAAGTTTCTCTGAAATGTCAGCTTAGTGGAGACTAGGGTTTTGCTTTTAATGATTTGGTCACAAAAGGATAATAATGTGGCTCCCCACATTTTATTTTCTCGGCCTGAGAGCTCCTGCTACAAATGTTCAAATGTTGAACAGTGTAAGGGTTGTCTGTGCATAAAAGATTGTTTTGTATTGTGTACAAGTTGAATTGGGGACAAATTGACAGTGTTATATTTTTCTCTGCTCTCTAGTTTCCTGTATGGTTCTATCCCCAGAATGACCTTCCTGGTGTGCTCGGCGGGATTCACGGCCCCGCTTTTGTTTGACGAAAAGAAGCAGCCGTACCACCTGATGCTGCAGAAGTTTGTGTCCTGTGGGGGGCAGGCCTCGCTGTTTCAGTAAGTGGCTTTTGTTGTCTGGATCTGATGTAGGACAGGGCAGGGTGAAGAAAAAGCATGCTGATATTGTTCTTTAAATGAATAAACCTTTCTTGATCTCTGATGAGAAATGTTAGTTCAGTCACGCTTGTGTTAACGACCACTTAATCCAATGATCACTTCCCTCGCTGCCCCCCTTTCATTATCTTCTCCCCCCCCCCAATCATATTTTGGCACTGTCTAAGAGGACCGCCTGTCTAGGATGACCACTTTTCTGTTCGACCATGGGTGGCCATCTCGAATAATTTTTATTGTATGTATGTGGCGGATTGAAATAATGTGATTGAAATGCTCTTTGTTTTTTCCTACAGGGCGTTCTCCTGGGCCCTGTCCATTGACGGGAAAGTTCCTCTGTCTGAGGGACTGGAGCACCCAGATTTGCCGGGTATGTCATTGTAATTGTTGGAGGTAGTAGCAGTGAAAGAATTATGGCCCATGATTTCTTCCTGGAATGTGTCTGATTTTGTTGCTTTGTACTTGTCATGGTTATCATGTTTGGGGACTTGAAACATTTAGAACTATTGTGTTTTGTTATATATGTGCTCATTATAGCTAGTTTTAGTTTCCTTTATAAGATACGAGGGTTGTCAATTGTGGTAGAGATGGAGTGCTAGAAAATATGACGGTTTGTGAACGAAAAGACAGTGTATTGAAAAATTGTGTATTGTTTAGTCATGAGGATGTCAGTGAGGCAGACTGGAGAAGCCGTCCATGGAACAATAATAAACTAAAGGGAAGACAGCTGTACACGACGATTGTTGGGTGTGTTATTCCGATGGATAGGGGGTGCTCAAACGAATTTCAATAATGTCATTAGACTTTTTTTCATGAGTATTTAGGGTTCGGGTGTTTATTTCAAGATCATTTTATTTATTCGCGATCTGTGGTTACGAACTGGATGCAGTGGTTTTCATGATGATGAATTTAATATAGACAAGCATATGTCTGATGTAAGAAATGAGTGCTTCATGTTTTCTGAAAGAAAGCTTGCTGATATGGCTTTAAATGTTCAGGGTACAGTAATGTTCATGTAAATAGATTTGGATTGAAATATTCTATTGAAAGCGCAAAACAACTTATGCAAACATTTTTCATTTGAATTGGTTATTGATGAGTTACTGACTGAGGGAATTGCTATTCAAATTTTTTTAAAATATGAACTGATTCGTCATCATTGGAAAAGGTTGTTCAGTTAGAAAAAGTAAAATGTATTTAATTAACAGTATTTTCGCTGTTGATGGTGTTATTCTATTGTTAAAGTAAACACAAATGTTCATTGCGTTAATATTTTTCTTAATTGTCATTACAGAAGGCACAGGGGAGTTCCTTGATTCTTGGTTAGCTTTGGTGGAGAAGATGATCAACCCTAAAGCTGTTCTGGAGTCTCCACACACTCTCCCACCCAAGAACAAGGCCCCAGGCCTAACAGTGTTCAACCCAGTGCAATATCTCATCAGTACACAGAAGGTAAGCCCTGAGATCAGTTTTTGGAGGGGTTTAGTTACTGTTGTTGCTGGAGAGAGCATTTGTAATGTAGATGTATAGGAATATTTGCTTTTAACAAGTATACATTGGACACCTCTAAGAGTACTGTTGAGTAGTTTGTCACTCTTCATGTACTCTATCAAACATAGGAATTGGTTGTTTTGTGTGGTTATTTTTAGACAAAAATGACATGAAACAGCAGAAAAACTACAAATTTTAATTTTATAAATTGAAAATTTTAATAGGACCCTCTCCTGTTATTTGGAGCAAGAGGTGTTTTGAAATTAAAATTCTGATATTGTTATATGCTTCTATAAATTCATAATAAATCTAGGTTCATATGTCTGTTCTTTGCAAAAGCTGCAAAATTTGATAATTTGTCCTTGAATTTTAAGTGTTTACCTTGTCTGATGGATGCTAAATTTTTTAATTTGGTGAATACAGCTTGTGTGGAATGATACCTTAATCTCTTTTTTTTTCTTAGGCTGCCTTCAATGCTGTGATGAACCTTTGGAACAAAAAACCTTTACCTGCTTATGGAAGCCGCATGTCAGAGTCTGTGTTGGCCATTTTGTGTCATATCATCTTAGGGGAATCAATTTTACAGGTAATTTCTGGTTTTTCTTATCTTTCGTAGCACTCGTATGTTCATGCCTAAGTAAAGGCTTTTGTTTGAAAGCTGTGGCAATAATCGTGCATTTGTCTAATTTTATTGGGTCCACACTAGTGTGATTAGGTATGTTCTTGTTCATTTGTAATCTTTCCCCATGATTGATTTGTCATTTAGTTTACTAAAGATTCTAAATGGAAATAGTCAAAAGTAGTTATTATTAAAAGTTTTGTTGTTTCGACATTTTTCAGATATGTAGTGATTTCTATTTTTATTGTTCATTATTCTATTTCTGTAGTGAATGCACAGTGGTGTTTACAGGGCTTGTGCGCCTGATGTAGTGCTGACCTTTTGAGAATGTCTTTTCAGAAACACTTGGAGCGAGAGAAGTCTGCACTGGCCTCAGGCTCCGGAGACACGGCCGTGGATCTGAGCGGTGCCGGCCCGTCGAGCCAGAGTGCGCCCGGACCCTCTGCCGGGGGACCGTCTGCCGGACCTTCCGGAGCCAGCGTGGCTGCCACCTCCAGGCGGCCCCTGGAACCTTTGGTCAATCAGCAGCACCTACAGCAGGTAGGGGATGGCCTAGAAACACATTAAAAATAGTTTTTTTAAAATGGTAGTATACCTGCAATTGGACCAGAAATTATAAGTTGGGGATAATTTGGTATATGATTTCAATGGCATGTTTGAACATCATAGATTAGGCTTGGTTATTTGTTTAATCAACAGATTTTTTATTTTGTTTTGCTGTGTTTAAAAAATTCAGTAAGAATTTCTATTTAAAAAAATTAAAAAAGAATGGGTCCCGTTAAAAAAATCTGTTCCCCACTTTTTGTACGATACATTTTCTTGCTCTTTAGTTTTTACCATCTTTGCGTGTGTTTTGTTCTCGCCGTTCAAACCTAATTGAGATTTACAATGTAAAATATCTATGCGTTTTGAGGCTATTTGTGCACTTTGGTCTGTACGGTGACATATTATTAGCTATTTGGTTTCTCCTCAGTTGATGGACATGGGTTTCACCAGGGAGCAAGCCACTGTGGCTCTGAACAACACCAGCAGCTTGGAGCAGGCCACCGATTATATTCTGAGCAACCCCATCCCACCAGCAGCTAGTGTAAGTTGCAAAAGCAGCAGTATACACATGCACATCTCTCTCTCTCTCTCTCTCTCTCTCTCTCTCTCTCTCTCTCTCTCTCTCTCTCTCTCTCTCTCTCTCTCTCCCTCCCTCTCTCTCTCCCTCTCTCCCCCTCTCCCTCTTCCTCTCCACCCCCCTCTCTCTCTCTCTTCTCTCTCTTTCTCTCTCTCTCTCTCTCTCTCTCCCCCCCCCTCCCTCCCTCCCTTATCTCTCTCTCTCTGTCTCTCTCTCTGTCTCTCTGTCTCTCTCTCTCTCTCTCTCTCTCTCTCTCTCTCTCTCTCTCTCTCTCTCTCTCTCTCTCTCCCTCCCTCCCTCCCTCCCCCTCCCTTTTCTCTCTCTCTCTCTCCCTCCCTCCCTCCCGTGATGGCAATTGGGGAATTGATTAGTTTATTGGCCCAGTTGTCATCACTGGTGTGCACTACAGTCGAGTTGTTGAAAAGTCTTCACTTATGTCTTATGAGTGAGGTTATTGAGATTATGAAGGAACTTTCTTCAAAGGTTATGAGCTGGAAGCAGCTTGACTGGTAAACAGTTTGAGAAGCTCTGGGGGTTTAATGCTTAGGAGCGACAAAAGTATCCTGCCTGGATGCATGATATAAGTAATAATTGTTTTTGGGATCTACTGAAAAAGTTAACAGGATGTTGGGGGGGTTGGTTGTATTTTTATTCAAGGAAGGGTCCATTTCTTTTTGAGCTCTGCCTAAAAGTGAACAAATGTTAAAAAGTGTTGGTGCCACCTAAAGAAAGGGATGTGCAGTGGAAATTGTCTAAGAAAGCCATGATTGTTGAGGAGAAGCTGTTTTAGACAGGTGGCCATTTCACACAGTGTCATTATAATGGGAAAAAAATATGGGGTGGCTGTTTGCACAGGTGATTGTCTTATACTGGTGGCTGGCTGTTAGAACAGGTTTGACTGTATATGTGTATATGGATATAATATATGGATATAATATATGGACTTTTTACATGACATGCGTGAAGCGAAACTGAACCAGTCTCTGTCCACCTTTGTCCAGGCTGTGCCAGGCTCCATGGATCTGGACATGAACGACGAGGACCAGATGATGAGAGCAATTGCCATGTCTCTCGGGGAAAATGCTGTCTTGTCCACTGATCAGGTGAGTGAGCCCCCCCCTCTCTGTCAACGAGATAAGGAAACCAGTTTTTTGCTTTTTTTCTCTCTCCCTAATACAAACTTTTTGTCGTCATTTTCATCCATCTACAGTGAGAAATATTGCTGGAGATATGAGCGAAATTGTACAAAAATACAAGCTGCAGGAATTATTATGTTTGTGTGGGATGAGGTTAGTTTATTGATGTTGTTATTGATCCAGGTTAGTTTATTGATGTTGTTATTGATCCAGGTTAGTTTATTGACAGAACTTTGTATTTTTCATTTTTTAAAGATTTTTGTTGTTGAAATAATCATGTTTCAGGCGAAAAACGATGGGAAAGAAGAAAAACAGGAAGAAGAAACTGAAGAAAAACAAGAGGATGAGGACCCCCTGGATTCCAGTGTGCTTGATGAGTTTACAAGAAACATATTTCCAGGTACATTTGGAATTTATGCTTGAAAGAGGATCATGTTTGTAGTTGAGATACAAATAAACAGTTGAATTTGTTTTGTGTTTCGTGAAACTAAGATGGTGGTAAAAGCAAACGAAAAACGTAGTTCATTACTGACGATTGGACTATGTCATTATTTTTGTGCTATCACACCCCCAGGGTTCTCCCCCCCCCCCCCCCCCCCCCCAAACTTTTGAGAAAAACTCCCCATTTTGGGCATGGAGTGGTTGGCAAATCCGCATGCAGAAGACCTGCGTTTGATTCTTGTATGGAGAGAATCTTGAGTATCTCTATCATTCTGTCATCATGTTGTTGGCAGGGTTGAAGCTTGCCTCCTACATGTTCTAAGCTGTGTTGATAGGGGTCTAAAACACTTATATATTATTTATATATTTTCTAAAAAATTTAGGTTTGACTTCCAGCTACATTTTTGCACTTTTATTTGACTCTTTAGGTTTTGTGGACCGTAATAGGCCCTTAATGGTGTCTTTCACCTTGTGACATTGACTAGTCTTTAGCCTATGTTATGATGCTTTTTGTTTAAATGTTTCTTCAGGCTGCCTGAATTTGTTAGACACACTTCCAGAGACTGTATACCGCGTGTGTGACCTGCTCATTGTCGTCATGCAGAGGAATGGCAACAGTTGGAGGCGCAGCACATTGGCCTCTCTCTGTGAGGATGTGAGTAGACGGCGAACAGCCGAGTCGGCATATATACGTCTCGCTCACAAGATAATTGCCTAAGTCATGTTAGGCCAGTTTGGAGTTTTCGGTTCTGAAATGAAGAGCAGAGCCAGCTTGGTAATATAGTTCACTTGGACAAAAGAATAATCCAGTTGTAAAACGGAGTGTATCAACATTCAAGTGTTTAACAGAGTCGGTTGTTCAAAAGAAACATTTTTTTCTTTCATTTTCTCAAAATGGCTGAAAATGACTTGGGTATTTATCTTATGAGCGTGATAATAATTCTTCATTGCTTGTCAGTGGTGTGTTGTAGTCTGTTGTCGTCCACCCACTATTGCCACAGTGCCTCATTTATCTGTTTGTGGAATAGGTGATGATGAATGTAGTGGGGCTCCTAAATCTTCTTATCAGTAACTTTCACCGTTTCTGTTGCTACATGTTAAAAGCTTGCATAATATTGTATGATTTTAAAATGGCTTTGCAAAGGGAAAGGGATAAGACGGATTGTTTTGGGGGAAAATGAGGATATGCGTATCAGGAGAATATGGAAGTTCTGGTGGAATGCATATATCACTGAACTCTCTTGTAACATCGCCAATCTTCAGCTTTTTCATGACTTACTTGTTTTTTAAGTACTGCAAAACGCTTGCTGAAGGTGGTTGGAGGGTGCTGTGGCGTGGTTTGCTCCTCCTTTCCTATCAAATATCTTTCATCCTTATCTCTCCTTTCTTTTTTTGTGTTAGTTACTCGCTTGTAACATCTAATCTTCGGCACTTATATGACCTTATTGAGTTGCAAGTGCCGTAAATTTCTTACTACAACTGAAAGCACTTGTTAAGACTAAACACACTTGCTAAAACTTAAAAAACAAATTAAAAACTGGTGTGCTTTTGTCCCTTCAGCTGTGTACCCTGAGTGAGGAGATGATGGTCCAGGCACAGGAGCTGAACCTGGTGGGCATGCACAGCTCCCCCAGTGCGCAGAAGTTTGCCATACGTCTGCATCTTCTTTGCCTTTTGGCTGAGGTGAGTTCCTAAGAACAAGGGGACAAGCGCAGTCTTGCTGTAGATTACTGTGACTTGTAGGAGTCATTTTTCCTTAGTATGGGGTAGATAGGCTGGGAAAGAAACTGTATAATGTGGCTTACGTTTGATCATTGGTGGCTCCATGGCTATGGGATGACCTGTCTATTAGTTTCATGTGTTTTTTGTTTTTTTTTATAGTAGTGGGTTTTACGGCGCTCGCAGCTGCTATTTCATGTGTGAAGTGAATTTGTCTTTGCCTACTTTTAGGTGTCTCTGTTCGGGTTTTGAAGAAGTCGGCAAGCTAGAAATATGGTACATCAAAATAAATAGTTTCTTGCCTAGAGTAAAAGCCTTGAAATTGATGTCAATTATTAATTCCGCTCCTGAAAGTTAAGATACATTAAAAAAGTAATGTGCTGTTAAATTTTTATTGGGTCAAGTTTGGTATGTTTGTTGTGACATGTGAATGACAGTATCAGAACGTAGCCTAGGAAAATATTGTGATGTTTTGTTGCTTTTTTTTTGGTTTGGGTGACATTTTACATCTTGTGGTTTCAGGAGATGAACTTGGCTTGTGCTTTGAGCATGGACAGAGTGAAGCTGCCGTCCCGCTTGGTGCAACTGCTCAGCGTCAGCAAAGATGCTTTACTTTGTGCTCCCCCTCCCCCTCCAGCTGGTGCCACACCAAAGTAAGTGCAACTCTTGATATCTTTCCAGGCTTACAAATTTAAGTTTGAAAATTCTGAAATTTACAAAGGCAGAGGAAACCACTCCCAGCAAATTACTTGGAAGATAAACTCATATCGAAAGATGACTATTGACAGTACGAGATCGCATATTGCCCTTGATTTATATAACAATGAGATTATGGTCTTGAAAGCGTACCAATGCATACATTGTTACTTAATTTGAGTGTTGACAAAATGTTGCCTGCTTTATGTACCTGTTCTGCATTTTCTGTCTTGACAAAGTGACATTTGCCAATGGTTTTTACCTATGTCTCTCCAGATGGCTAGCCCATATGCTTCTTCTGCTGGATCTGTGGGAGAAATTGTCAGTGTCCCTCAAACGCAAGATGCAAGCAAGAATCACAGTTGTGAGTATCCACACCTTTCTCTAAGCTCACCTCTTTTGTGACATACAGAAAGAAGTTTTTTCAAATTTAGAAACTGATCCGGCTTCAGTAAGTTTTACCCTGTCACGCTCGGGTTATTAAATGTACTCATCTTAACATGCTCCGATGCACAGCTGTGAGTTAAGACTTTTTGTCCCCATGAGTATTGGTGGCTAAAGAAAATTATAGTGTTATGATTATGTACTGTCTTGGGAAAGGGCAACTGTTTTTGTTTCAGTTCCAGTCTCTTTTTCAGCATCTGACATTAATGATGTTTAGTTTGAACACTTTCTGAATAAGGTAAGAAGAAGGCTAGTTTGAAAAAAATTGTTCGGCACAGGGCAGGGAGTAGCTCATCAGAAAACATGTTAAGTGATATTGTCTAATATCTGTGTTTGGGATCTTAGTACAAAGTGTATTGTCATCTCTACCATATTTTGTCAAGGCCTGTTCTTATTATTAGAGGAGGTTGTTGGAAAGGTTTTTCTGCTAAGAGGAAAGTAATAAGTTGTGCAGACAGATACCTCAACAAATTAAACTGGAAGCCCCCTCCCTATTTAGTTTTGCTGTGCAAGCTGATAAAAGATCATTTTGGAACTTGATATGTGTTACTCTTGTAAGATCTTTTAGAGATACAGTTTAATCTGGGGAAGGTGCTAACGTAGTGCAAAGTGTCCTGACCGTTTCTGACTCTTTTTACATTTTTACATGATTCTCCTTTTTCTTTTTTGAACCACAGGGTACTAACAGCGTTTGGAAGTGGTTTGACGACAGCAGTGGTCGCTGGTGCAAGTACAGCACAAACAACAACACAACCATTGATGAGGCCTTCAAGAAAGGGGAATCCTTTGTTAGGTAAACTTTGTACTGTGTATAAACATTTGAGGAAATTTACTTTTACTATAGCCTATGTCTTTGCAATGGTGGTTTTGATTCCAAGTAAGTATTAGGAACAATTCATATATATAGGAACCAACTTTCTGATAGGATAAGAACATTTGAATACTTATTGGGTGTATATATAGTGCTTTGCGTTTATTTTGTAACTTAATGATTTGAAGAAAGTATTTGCTTGTCATTTCGGTCTGTTAGGTCCTAAGTTAGTCATGCGGAGATTGTTCCTTTGTTTTATACACAATTAGGAAATCCAAGTTTGCCTTATTCAAATGGCTTTTCTTTGTTCTGTTTTTATTAGGTTTCAGGCTGGAAGGAGGAAATATTCCGTACAATTCGGCTCAATGATTCAGGTGGGTTATGTGAGATTGTTGATTTTAGTTTTGGTGTCTGTTTCACTTCAGTTTCAATGCATTGCAGCATTATGCTTTGTTTATACTGGAGTTAACTTTATGTTGTGGATGGTGCTGTGGAAGTCCAATTGAAGGTCATTGGTAAGAATAATGTAATATTGTTCACCTTTCGTGACCTTCTAATATACCCATCTGGTGTGTGAAATGAGTTAAAAGAAACAAAAAAAGGTTTTTCCTCTTTTTTGCACCACCACATTATACTCAAGATGGCTGATGAGTTGTGTATAGCTGATGATCTACTCTTTTGTTGGTAGTACTGTTACAGAGTGAAAATTTTGGCACTTGGTAGATGTTAATTGATATTTACTATTTGCAACAGTTGAATGAGCTGACGATCTACTCTTTTTGTGGTAGTACTGTTACAGAGTGAACATTTTGGACACTTGGTAGATGTTAATTGATATTTATACGTTGCCACAGTTGAACGAAGAGACTGGCAACCGTCGTCCTGTGATGCTGTCCATCCCAACTGCCGAAGAGAAATCGGCTGCGGGCAAGCAATCGGCCAAGGAGACGACAAGTGATGAGCAGCTCTCAGGTTTGGCTTGAGTTTCCTCTTTTTGCTATGGGTTTCAGGGGTTTGAAATGGTGTTGTTGGTACAAAATCGTCACATTAGAGGCATCATGGTGAAATGAGGCCCCTGTTATGATAATAAAAATGAAGGAAACAGCATTTTCCACCGGTTTGCAATGTTTTGGGGAATTTTTTTTTTTGGGGGGGGGGTTTAACACTTTATGTCCATTTTAAAAACACATCTGTTTATTAACTAGCTACGGATTCACCTAACTGTGACAGCCATTTTCTTGCTAATTTTATGCCTAAAATCAGGTGACCCCCACCTCCTACGGTTGCAAATATCTTGACTTGAATTATTACTATTGTTGTTGTTATTATTATTGTTGTTGTTGTTATTGAAAAAAGCCTGTTGGCCGTGTTCTTTCTAACAGTGATAATTTAATCCACAGAGGAAGTGAGAAAAGAATTTGAGGCTCCAACCAATTTGGATGAATATTTACCCAGCCTTCCTCATGAGAGTATAGAAATAATTATCAGGTAAGTTTGATGCCTGAAGCATTGTACTTTTTTTCTGTGTAAATCTGGAAGTGTGGGATGTCTGAGATTGTCTGGATTTTTTTTTATTTTCTTGATGCAAAATGTTTTAGACAGTACAAAATCTTGATACAAAAATTTATAAGACAATATTTAGAAAATTTTTTGATGCCTCGCGCACATTTCTCCGGGGTCCAAAAAGCTCAGGATTTTTTTCATGGCCAAAAGGCACCTCTGTTGTTTTTGTTCCAGTTGCATTTTCTGCTTGTAAAGAATTTTTGCGATGGGAGTATGTGGTACGTCTTTTACACTCTTTTCATGTGTTAAGCATATAATAATAATAATAGATAGCATTTGTATAGCGCATATCCCCGCTCAACAGCAGGCTCTATGCGCTTTACACTATATTATTACCCCAGCAGACCATAGAACACTCCGAAACATTCTCAGCTTCCCGGGAAGCATACAGTGCAAGCAGCCGATTAAGCGCTCAAACACTAACAAACTGACAAGATCTTTCGCTGTCTATAGCCGGGTACCCATTCCCACCTGGGTGAAGTGAGGAAAATTTGTGTAAAGTGTCTTTCCCAAGGACACAACGTCGGGCCCTCGACGGGATTCGAACCCACGACCTTACGGTTGCGAGTCCGAGAGCCTAACCACTAGGCCACCGACGCCACATATACATTATTCAAGATACTGTCATCCAAAACTATTGCAGCAGGGATTTAGTTTTATTTTTGTCTAGAAGACGAGCCTCAACCATTGAAGGTTCGAGAGATAGTTTTAGTAAATTATTAATTGTTGAAATGAAACTTGAAGACATTAAAAGAAAATAAAGATAATGGCTTTTTATTTTACATATTAGTTTTTTTTTAACGTGTGAAAATAATTGAAATTTGAAGACTTATGAGGTAAGTGCTTGTCAAATGTGTTATCATTTTGCAAACATAAAAATAATGACATGTAAGGCACCATGTTTTGTAGGATAAAATTTGTAAGTTTTGAAAAGCCATATTTGAACTGTAGGCTTTCCAGCCTTGAAGAGCTTTTTGATTTTTCTGGTATTTTCAGAAGGTATTAAACTAATGAGATAACCCACATGTCTCTTGCCTTCCTCAGCTGTTTGAGTTCCTGCTTGAGCATCTCCCTGGACCCAGACACACTGCACGCCGCCATGCGTCTCATCTTGCGCGTGACCAGACACCATCAGTACGCCGTCAAGTTTGTGGCGGAGGGTGGGGCTCGCCGCCTCCTGGCACTGTCGGTCAGCTCCAACTTCCAGGGCTTCCTCAACCTGGCCACGCTGATCTTTCGACACATTTTGGAAGAGCCTGTTTCTCTGCGTTACTGCATGGAAAAGGTCGGTATCACAGTGACAGATTTGAAGAACTCGTGTGTTTTAGTTATTGGGGGAGTTCCCACTTGCTCCTTAGCTATACTATGAATATATATTTCTTTTTCTCAAGTGAATATCATTGTATGTATCATTTGAAGTGACTGAACTTAAAGAATCCTTTGCTTATTGTAACTCACTTAGGTAACAATTATAAGGAACAGTTTAGATTGAAGTAAAGTTTCTGTATAAATCCGTTCTAATTTTTTTTTTAAAAGGCTTTTATGTTGGCATTTTGTGGAGCTTGTACGAGAATGGAAATATTGCTATGTCTGTGATTGGATTGAGTTTTAAAAAAAATGTCTTTGGTGTATGTTCCAGGTGATGCGCAATGTGTGTGCAGGCATTGGCTCCTGCCAGTCTGGTGTGAGTCAGGGTGGTGTTGGCGCCAAAGAGATGCACTACGTTTTGCGTGTCCTGGGGCCGGCTGCCTGCAGGGACCCGGAGATGTTTGTGCAGGTGGCACGCCACACGCTACAGATTACCCTGCCACCTGCCTCCCTCAGAGGTGAGCTTAACTCTCTATGTCTTATTCTTGATTGCAATCATTTTCAGTGGAACATACTCTAATAGTCACCTGTCTAAGATAATAACCTACACAAATGACTTTTTCCTCCCCCACCCTTTTTTGGGGGTTTATATTATAATGATACCTTTCAAGATGTTCACCTGTTCAGGGCCACCATTTTTCTCCTGAACAGTTGGTGGCTTTGATGATTTTTTTTTACTATATTGATGCTTTTTAAGACATTGTTGCATGGTCTTTACATTAAAGATTTATACTGTTGTCAATTCCTTCTATCCCCAAGGGCCTGTGTGAAGTGCTGATAGGGAAGTCTTAAAAAGAGGGGGGCTTGTTTACTGCTCATTCGTCAAGAAACATATATATTTCTTAGGATATTTTGAATGTTATCAGCTTCTGTACCAAATGCAATTTCAATGCACTGAATGTGGAAGCACTTTAGAAGATAAGAAAAACTTTTTCTTTCACGATATGTAATTTTCTTTCTGCAGACGATGACGAGGCCCGGTATGTGGGCCCCAACGCACCTCAGATTCTGAAGTGCACCCCAACCAAACAACTGGAATCTCTGGTCAACCCATCCATCAAGACCTTCATCTGGGACCTGTTGAATGCCCTCATTGTGCACCAAGTGAACAAGCCCAGTGAAGACAGCGGAAGTATGTCACCCCTTGCTTTTCCTTTTTTTTTGTTCTCTCTCCCTCCTTTTGTTGTTTTGGTGGGCCTGAGGATTGGGGGAGAGGGTTACTGTTTAACCCTCTGCGTTCGCATCATGACCACTGGCCGTGATGACTCGTACCTCCCTTCCGCGCGCATCGCGACCGCTGGTCGTGATCCGACATGAGTGTAGAAACTATACCGCTGACATGATAATAGCCATTTTTTAAACTGCTGGTGACTACAGTCCACCAGTGCAATGTTTATTAGTGCCGCTGGCCACGCATTTTGCAGCCGGGGATCGGTTGGGAGTTTTTTATCGGCAATTTTCTGGGATATTGTTTAGTTTTCAAAATGTCGGATTCTTTGCTGCAGATTTACCCAACATTTTTCTGGAATCAGACCACTGTGATAAAGAGTTAGAAGGATTAGGTCCTGAAATAAAAGATTTAGATCTATGTGTGAATGATGGGGATATCGTGTCGTAGATCTAGATCTAGCGAGGTTAAGCCCAGAAGGGGACGTCGATATTCCTACTGATCTCCAAGCAGGCTGGACTAAAAATGATGAGGATTTTGATACCAACAACAACAACATAATTAATAAACACATCTGACCAGACATAAGGGTAGTTCATTGTTTAAGACACATTTTTCCTTCTTACAGTAATTAGAAATTATGATAAATAAGAAAGATAAGAGCTTTTTTTATAGCCATGTTGAAAATTAGCATTTTTCTAAAATAAACCTTGCACCGAAAGGAAGTAATGATAAAAATAGCTTAGCGCTTAGAGGGTTAAGCAGTGTAAGGTTGAAATGTTTCCCTCTGGGTGTAATGTATTTATTCCAATTAAAATATTTCGGTAGTGAATGCGATGTATGTATTCCAGTGGTGTTACCACATAGTAAAAGCCAAGCTGGTTGTAAGTTTTTTAACCGTTGATATGTTGTTTTTTTTGGTTTTGTTTAATTGGCAGAGTCAAAGTTGCATAAAGACATATGTGAACCATACAGTCTCTTCATTAAACTATTGGAAAAAAAAACCGAAGAGTAGTCTAGAATCACCTGTATCTTGTTGTGTATCGGTGTAATAATGATAGAATTATGTTTTAATACAATGGCAAGAAATTTTTCAAAACCTTCAGAGGCAATTTTTCTATCTGTTCTGGTTATCATTGCACTTATTTTTTCTGCGACAGATATAAACATATTATTGTACTTTTGTCCATTTGGAACAGTGTTTCGGAGTCCATTAGAAATGAGTCTTTTTTACTATTTTCAGCAACATCGACGGAGAACAAAGAGCCTCAGACCCTGGGAGAGCACATAGACCGTATGATCGCCCTGGCCAGGGGTCCCACCACGACCACCACCACCAGCTCCACAGTCTCCACCAACGGGCCCTCGGCTGGGGCGGGGGCACCGGCCGCGTCGACCCAGCAGACTCCCGCACAGGCGGGCCAGCAGACAGGGGTAGGCTCTTGGGTCGAATGTGTCTCTTGTTTTGTAGAAGTTGTAGATTTGCTGGCCTTTCCTTTAAAATTTGGTTATGGAAACATTCAATGTGACTTCTCTTGTGGAAACTATTTTGCAAAATGAAACAGAATTATATTTAGTCAGCATGGTTTATTGTCTGTTAACACTTTACAGTCACATATCCAGTTGGTAAAAAAAATCTACTCACAGGGCCCCTAGAATGTGCACGAGAAAATGAGTGATTTTTGAAAAAGTAATTTCTAAAGTTTTCAATTGAACTCAAAATGAAATTTCTGATGTATGTATGTGTAAAGTGAATACTCCGTTCACAATTACAAGGTATTGTTTGACAGTAAGGTACCGTTTCCTTCCTTCTAAAGAGCATTTGTTTATATTCATTTCGCCATTTATTGTTCATGGAAGGAAGAAATGTTCTTGTGAGTAATTGAGCACTCGATTGTACTTTGTGGGTTGAAAACTATTGTATTGAAGAAAATATATAGGTTTTTCAGGTAAGCGGAAAAAAAAAAATAAATTAGGCCTGCTTTGGAAGGTTTGCTTACGGTGGTTTTTCTGTCATTTTTCTATCGCTCAGGACAAACCGCCAGGTACAGCTCCAGGTGAGGAAAGTACCAGCCCAGCTGTCACGGCCGCTACTACCTCGAGCAACCCAGCTTCTCTGCCACCACTCATCCCAAAGTCGGCCATCTTGAGACTTCTGTCGGAGATGATACGTTCCTATGGCAACTGTGTCCAGCTGATCACTCAGTACACATATCCTCCAGGCCAGACGGAGCTGGTGCCTGATGTAAGTTGATCTATGGGACAGAAATTTTGCTTTTGTGTTGTGTGGATGGTGTAATTTTTTTCCTAGTTGTATGGTTTTAATTGTGTACCGTGGAATAATTTGGTATTAAAATTCCATTGTGTGTAATATTTTTGCTAGTTGTATGGTTTTAATTGCGTACCGTGGCGTAATTCTGTGTTGAAATTTCATTGAGGACTTTTTTTTGGTTGCATTTTGATAATGGATGACACCAGAGCAATGTTTTGAGCTTTGACTCGTCCTGTTCCATATTCACTCATTCTGGATTATGAGTTGAAGGATTACAGAACCAGTTAGCTTCCCAGATTGTTTGTTCCTGATGAGTACAGTTGGAAGTCATTGTCAAAATTGATTGAGTGAGTGTCTGTGCATGCGACCATTTTCTGTATCTGATAGAAATTGTATTGATAAGGAACAGAACACGCTAATAGAATTGTGCGACCTGCTTCTTGATTTTGTAACGGTCTACTGACACTAATGGTAGTGTTACATGCTATTCAAACCGAAGCAGACTTGAGAAAGAGGTGTAGTGTGAGTCAACAGTCATTCTTTCTGAACTCTCCCAGCGTCCGGCAGTAATAACCCTGTTTCCAGCGTCCGATACTAATGACAACTGTTTCGTTTCATGTAGTGCTAGTTTTTGCTTGTTTTTTGGAACTATTCGCGGTCCAAGCTTTTTGGTTATAGCTAAGCCTTTGTTTTCACACTTTAGAAGTTTGTTATAATGAGACATAAGTGCATTAGGTTTGGGTGACTGTAGAAAAAACTTTGGGAAACGGTGGAAAAAACTTTCGAGTTTGAAGAGTTGATCACTGTCATTTTGAAACTCTTATCATCCCAGGGCTGCTCGGTGCTGGCTTTTGTGCTGGACTGCCTGCTGCCCAACTCTCAAGAAGTCGGAGACAAGGACTGCCCGGCCCTAGCCCGTGTGTTTGTTGCCAGCATTGCTTCGTGCAGCCACAGTCCCGACGCTCAGATGGCTCTAGTCACCGAGGTGAAAGGAGCCCTGCAGCGTGCTCTGGCCCTGCCGGAGAGCTCCTCCAAGCACCAGCGCATTCAGGCTCTGTCTAGCATTATCAACACCATGATAGAGTCGTGCCCCACCCCTGGTCAGCTGCCCAACCAAGTATTTAAAGGTAGGTAGACGGGATTAGTGGGTGTGGTGGCGGAGCGGTTAGTGCGCTCGTCCCCGAAGCGGAAAGTCCGAGTTCAAGCCTCAGTTCGGACCCTCATTTTTTTGTGCCCTCCTGCCCACCCAGCAGTAATGGGTACGTGGAAAAAAACTGGCCACCCTACCACAATATGCCGAAGGCCCAGAAAGTTGTCTCTCTAACAAGGCACCCCAAACGGGAACAACTTTACTTTTAGACAGGATTGATTTTTTTCACTTTTTATCACTGTTGAAAAGTGGTAAAGTTGCCTGTTTCTAACACAAGGGGATAAGTGTAAATAGATACACACAAGCAATCTTTGCCCTCAAAATTAAATCTTGTGGTGGGGTTTTCTTGATAAACAGATTCTTTTATATTATTATTAGCCCTATAATTTTACTTTGTTATTTCAGGGGGTAACTATTAGGTCTTCGTTTCATTTTAAATGTATTTTTGAAAAGCAGTGCAAGGTGGAGACATGTAGTTCGTTTTGTTTATAAAATAGTTAATACTAAAAAAACCATTTGGTTAACGGGGATACAAATAAACTCAATAATTCAATAATTACAACTCGAAGGAATATATCACCAAGAACCTGCCATACTCTTGTATCCTGAACTCTTATTATGACTTAATAAGCTACCTACTTGGGGCTTATACTTGTATGAGATACGAGCGCTATGTAAATGCAATCAATTATATTATTATTACTCCAGACGCCGGGCAATTGCTCTGTTTTGTAGTAATTTCCTTCCTGGCACCCTCACTGGCATCACCTCACAGTATGATAGGCCTGTAAAAGCACCACTTAAACCGCATGGGAAAAAAAATGGATTAGAAAATTGCAAGCATGTAGAATTGATAAAACAAAAAACAAAACCAACATATTACATGTCTGCCTGGCACAGATATTTTCACTGCGTCTCTAGAAATTGAATCCACCCAACCATACGTTGCATCCAGTCAATAACTATATTATTGTAGGTCAGCAAGTGATGAACAACAACATGATGAAGATCCTGGTGAAGAAGGGCGTGCTGGTGGACCTGGCTCGCATCCCGCACAGCCTGGAGCTCTCCTCCCCCTTCCTGGCCAACACCATCAACGCCGCCCTGAAGCCACTGGAGACCCTGTCGCGCTCGGTGAACTCGCCGGACAAGTTTGTGTCCATGAAGAAGTCGGGGGCTGATCACAGCCAGGCCGCGCCGGACCAGGGAGGCACCACCACCCAGGTGGTCACGGAGCCGGCTGCCGTTGCAGGTGAGCTCTTTGGTGTGTGTGTGTGCGTGTGCGTGCGTGCGTGTACATGCATGCGTGTGTACATGCGCGCGTGCGTGTGTGCACGCGTGCGTGTGTGCGTCTGTGTTTTGTGCCTCCTGGACAATGCAAGACTCTTTACCAAAGGTCTCCCATAAGGAAGATGATGAATCTGCCCTCCATATTTCCTATATTTATGTCATCACTTTCCAGCAATCGACAATGAAAAGGATAGGGATTTGTAAGTGTTCGGCCACCATTACGTCCTTATGAGAAAGCTGATTGGCAAGGAGAACTGTATTTTGGGATGACTGTATAAAGGCGCTGTGTCTTTTTTCACACTGTTGGACTTGTACAGGGGAACAAGGACATTAATATTGCTCACTTTATACATAGTAGTTTAAAGTCTTCAGTGAATTTTTTTTACAAAGCTAGAAGCCGTATGAAAATTTGTCTTTTCTTTGCCTAGACGTGGAGAACCGAGTGGCCAACCTTGTGTCTGCGTCTGGGGAAATGAACGTGACCATCGAGGATGTGACCAACGACCCCGAGGCCCAGGCCAACCTAGAGGTGACCAGTGACCACCGCATCATGGAGCCGCAGGTCGTGGGGCGGGTGAGTACTACTTACTTATTTTTTACCTTTTCAGTTCTCTTATGCCATGAGGTGTTGAGGGGAGATGTAATTGTCGAACGTGGAGTGTGTGGCTGGCGGATGCTGTGGTGGGATTTGCTCCTTCTTTCCTATCAAATAACTATCGTCTGTATCTCTCGTCCTTCTTTTTTAAATGTTTGTTACTCTCTTGTAACACCTCTAATCTTCGGCACTTATATGACCTTATTGTGTTGCAAGTGCTGTAAAACTCTTACTTAAATTTAAACTAAACTTACTTTACTTTTACCTTTTCTGTCCTCTTATGCCATGAGGTGTTGAGGGGAGATGTAATTGTCGGACATGGGCCAGGTGTGTTGCTGTTTGGATCATCTTGCTGTTCTTCAGGAGACTCTCTTTGACTCGCGTCAATCCATCTTTTTCTTGGCCTACCTTTTGCCTTGAAGCCATCAATTCCCGTGTTGTTGGCGTTAAAGGCAGGCTGATGTGGCCCTATTCTAATAACGTGTCCAAACAACATTATTTGTTGTCTATATTTTTTTAAAGCTCGATTCGATGCCCAGTTACTAAATACGTAAAGTGTCAGAGATGTACCATGTTATCAGAAAAATGACTTGACTCTATCGTAACTTGCTTTGCTATTTTAGAGATATAGTTTGTGAATGCCTTTGTAGGTTTTGTATTTGATTAACTTCATATGGGTATTCTACAAGAACTGTTGTAAGTTAATAGCTTGTACTCTGATTTTTTTTTCTTAAAAAAATGGACTTATCCTGTTTTTCGTTTGTCCTCTTCAAATGAATACTGAAGTTTCCGTTTCTGTGATTCCCTGTTAATTCCTATGTTTTTATTTTCTGTAAGTTCAACCCTGGGTATTTTGTGACTTAATGTCTCGACAAATATCCTAACATTTTTCTTGTGTATTCACTGAGGCATGCATAGTTTTTGATAGATATAGTCACTTGTATAACCAGTGTCAGAACTTTAATTGAGGTGCAGGAGTTTTTTGGGTTTTGTTTCTGTACGAGGTAGCATTGGAGAAGTATATTTGTTTCTTTTTTGCATAAAGCTTGCATAATATGTTTTATGTCAGGCTCAAGAGCTGAATGAGGTCTTGTCCGAGCTACTCAACTCGCATGAGGGAGGTAATCCGGAGGACCAAGTTATTTCGGAGATGACCATCTCTCAAGGTAATGATCTCAGATTATTTGTATCTTGTAGGATGTACATGTTATTGGAACTTGTTCAATTGTTTTGAGAGGTTGCTAGATGGGCTTTTTGCATTCTCAAAGAAATGCTTGTCATTATGTACTTGGACCTGTTAACAAGTTCCATTAGACTGAAAGTAAATTTTTCTCAGAATAGCTAAAGAACACACTTCAAATAACATTCTGAAGTTAATTTTACTGTTCCCTAAAAAATTTTCATAACAATGTACAATTAAAAGTAATACCCTACTGTATTCAGTTCAGTACAAATAGAGCTGTGAACTGAATAAAGCTTTTGAACTACTGTCGAACCTGCCCTGACGGCCACCTCTATATGACGACCACCTGTACAAACGGCCACTTTCCACTTCCCCCCTTGCGTTTTTTCGATATAATTTAACTGTGTAAAACGGGCACCTGTCCAACGTGGCCGCGGCCACCATATTTTAACGCACAACCCCTACCACACCAAACAATAACATCTGTCTAAGACGACCACCTTAGTGACGCCATTACGTTTTGTCATAAATCATGCATTGGCCCCTGGCGTTGTGTGCGAGCCGTCATAATCCAATCACCTGTCATTATTGTTAGGTGGTCCCTCCAACCGATCATGTTGCGTAGGCCCCTCCCACTGTTGACCAATGGGTAACAAATTTTCAGCTGCTGGTGAGGTAAGCATGTGATCCCTCATTACCCATAAGCCCTGCCCAAAACTCGTACACAAATCGTAAGTGAGATGAGTGGTCACTGTTTACTCAGTCTGAAACAAAGTTACAATGGATGTCAACATGAACTTGTGACGGAAGTGTCGCTCGTTCTCCGAGTGGTGGCGACTGGTGTGTTTGTTTTACCTTAGCACTCGGTCCATTTAGTTTTATTGTCACCCTTGCACAAAAGCAGCTACAAAAGAAACAACCCCCCCCCCCAGCGAAAACAACAACAATACCAACAACAATACCAACACCAACAACAATGCGGCTACTTTCGGTTGGGACCTCAGAGTCAGAAAGGAATGGTTTGTTTTCTTCATCTAGATCAGTCCTGCCTAAGACGGCCACCTGTCTCCTTGACAATGGGTGGCCGTCTTACACAGGTTCGACTGTATAAACAAAAAAACACAAGACCCATAGATGAAAGAATTATTTAATGAAACTTACTTCAATCTCATCAGCACCAGATGAATTTAGTAAAGAGACAACTGATACATTTAGTTTTCCTTTATTTTCATTCGATTTAAAACTTAACCTGTTGTGTTTAAATGTACGGCTGAATGTTGAAGAAAGACGAAAAGAGGAAGATGCCTTCTCTTGTCACGTGTGGTTTTGTGTCTGCGCAGCTCGTGGTGTCGCAGAGGAGGAGAATGAGATCCTGATTGACGTAGAAGTTGAGGCTGATGAGGAAGACTTTGAGCCTCACGATTCGCAGATGGTGAGCCAAGTGCTTTCTGACGAGGAGGACGAGGGAGAGGATCGTGACCACGACAGGGGTAAGAAACGATGTTCTGGTTTTTGTAGTTGTAGTAGTTTTGTCGTACAACACTTTGTGGAGTCTCTGCTTTACAACTTTAATGTTATACATTTCTTTTGGGTATGTATCTTCTTTTAATTTTTGTTGTTGCTTTGTCCAGGCTTTCGGAAAATGGCTGTAAGGTGCCAGTGGTTATTCCTCTGTCCAACTTATCTCTGCCATTCGGGTGGTTTTTGACTTCCAAGATCAAAACAATTAGTATGTTTTGTGCTTTTGTTTGTTGTTTAAATAGTTGGCACAAATGAGCTTTTGTTGTTATATTCCACTTTTGAACTTTGTAGTATTAGGACTTTATTCCAACCAGTACATTTGAAAATATTTTGTATTTGTTAGGGGAAAGGGGAAAATGATTAAAGTGTGGTTTATACTTTGATGGAAATAGCAGCATGATGAGGGGAGCTATTTTTTACTCCTTTTTTTTTTGCCTCTTTTAAAAAACTCGAGATAATTTTTGTGTTTTCAGATCATGATGATAACCAGGATGATGTCTCAGCTGATGAAGAAGATTATGATGAGGCTGACCAAGAAGAAATGGGAGATGATGATGAAGAGGAGGAAGATGACGATGAAGATGAAGAGGATGATGAGGTATGATGTTTTTTTCCAATTTGCTACGGTCTTGCATCTGCTTACCTTTCTTTCTATGTCTTTAGACCCACCCACATAGTTTGAAAAGTCCTTTTCATTGTACTAATAAAGTACCATCTAAGCACTAAAAGTTTTCCAGATGACAATGTGTAAATGCTCTCTAGAAATAAATGGATGTATCAGTCCTCCAAAAATATGCTATCAGTGGTGATTATAGGATTGTAAGGTGTGGGGCCAGTATATCTTTGCAAGCCTAACTCCATTCAAGTCAGCTGTTCAATGATTCGAGCCCGATGTGATGGCTTTGAGCACCCTCGGTTGGTTTTGTGAGTTGTGATCACGCCAGCAGGCAGCTTTCTTTATTTGCTCATACTATTTTGTGGTGTTTCTGACTGTTTTAATTTCTGGACATTTTCAAAAATTATACCACCATTGAGAAAAGAATTGTGCAAGTTGGCCACCCTATGTCACAAATCCTTGAATGATGATGCGCCTTCATATTTATCAAATATTTTGAGACTGTACATTCCAACTCGCAGTTTAAAGTAATCAGCTGAAGTCTTTTCTGTTTTTAAATTAATAAGATGAATATTTGGAGTGATTTATTTTAGTCAGAACACGTTTTATGCTACTGTTGTACATTGTATTGTACTGTAAATCGCTCAAAGCCCGTGTACTTTAATCGGGGTTGAGGGCTCTATAAATGTCATTTATTAATATTATTTTGTCTGTGTGCCTGTCAGGGTTCCGACGTGGATGGTGAATTAGACGACTTCCAGGAGCAGATGGAGCAGATCAGAAATCCCTTTGAGACAGACGACCTGGTGTTCAATGTGGAAGACTTCAACAACAGAGGTATGAGCCTCATTTCAACGAAGACCTCTGTTTCTTTTTAGTCTTTATTTCCCTATTGTCTTTCCTCTATTTCTATCTGCTAGAACTGTTCTTCAGCAGGTGGTGAGAGAGCGCCACTTTGAGCTCGTTCTTCTTTCCTCCTTCCCTTTTGTTTCCATCTGTCTTACTGTTTCCCTGCATGAAATGACTATTTTTGTGTCAGTGTACCTCTCTTTACTGAAACAAAAAGATCTGTTCTTCCTTGCCCCTTTACTTTGTCATTCTGTGGATGTTTGATGAGTTAACAGGCGATCAAATTTTGTTGAAATAATGAAAGGTATTGGGTATAGAGGAAGTTTTTTTTTTTGGAGAAAGGATAGTGTTTTCAAATATGCTCTATTTTGGGGGGCCTCAAAGGAATGTCTAAATCCATTTTCTACCTTCTGATCATACCACTTGACTGTTGTAATGGACAGAAGTCACATAATTTGTTTGAATCAACAGGAGGAAACTGGCTACCGGAATAAATGAACCAATCAAAGTATTTCTAAGACTGATTCCTTTTGGTGATCCTCTGAGGTTTTCACATCATGTATATATATATATATATATATATATATATATATATATTTTTTTTTTGCTTCACTAATATTGTTTGTGTTCCCATTCATGCATAGCAGCAGCCAGTTTAATATACTCGTTTGACGGCTTCCCTTTTCAGGCGGCGGGCAGCACATCCTTTTAAACGACAGCAGCCAGATTCAGGCGTATCAGCTGCCGATGCACTTACATGACACTGATACAGGAACTGATAACTGTAGGTGACGCCCTACACAGCCCAGCCATGTCACTCTTGTGTCCTGGCACAACTTTTCCTCTCTCTCTCTCTCCTCCCCCGCTCCACCCGTCCCCCTTTTTCTCACTCACAGCCTGATATTACTTGTTGTTGCTTGTTTCAGCCATTCCAAAAGACTTTTGGCTCGTGCTACCAGTCAAAAAAGCCATTTGTTCAGAGTGTTATATATTACAGACAGAGTCTATTAGGTTCCACAAATCTTCAAGCACTTTTTATTGGTTATAGTAAGAGTAGCATTGATGATTGAATTACTAAAGAGAAAATAAATATGAAATAGGTGCTGAGTATTCAAGCACAGAACACCTTGAATAAGTTGATTTTTGTTTGAAATTCTGAGATTCTTTTCTAAATGAATTTTCCTTTATGAATTGGATAACTAGGCTGTTTTGAACTGGCAGCACAGCATTGTCTCATGTTTTTCCACATGTTGAAGTTAAATTGTACCGAATTGATTTGCTTTCCCTGAAGATTGTTTAAAACGTTTGTTGTCTGGATGATCTAATTTATTTGAATTTTGGATTTGTTATAAAGGTTTGGTGTCTATACAAGACAACAGGATGCAGTTAAGAGGCGCGTCAGAAAATGTTTTTGTTGCAGCAAGTACAGGGATGTTCTCCTTAGACATTGAAAGCGAGTAAAACCTATATTGATTTTGTTGCATTGTTGCCCAATAACAAATATTTGACATTGATGTAATGGGCAAATTTTTGTGGATTAGGCACCCTAAGAGAGAAAAGTGATCATATTGCTTTGTTTAGAGATGTTAGGTTGTGACCCTGTTTGCATTATTTTGTTTCTCTGCCCATGAGAGCTGATATTCTGTTTCTCGGTGAACAGTGCCCAGCTTGCCACCAGCTCCCAGCAACATTACCAGTATGCATCCGCTGCTGATGCGCCAGTCGGACCAGCACTCGGGACGCGCCCACCGCGGGGGCCGACAGAGGCTGCGTACACTTCCGGTGCACGTCAACCTCAACCCAGGCACACGGCAACCCAACACCCCAGTCATCTTGCAGAGGTACTTGAGTTTTGATTTGCTATCTTTTCTCTCTGGCGTCTTCCAAAGCAATTTAGATTTACTCTGTTGATGATGTCTGCTGTTTTCTTCTCTTTTTTTCTGTCTCTTCCCTCCTCCCATCAGCTTCAACTGCTCATCCTCCTCTTCTTTTTTCCACTTCTACCTCCTTCAACCTCCTCCTTCTCCTACCCCCTTCTCCTCCTCCTTTTGTCCCGTCTCAGGATCTTCAACGTGATATTATAGCTGTTGAAGACAATCTACCCAGAAGTAACTGAAGAAATGCCAATATTTTGTAGCTTTTATTTTCTAATCCCTGACTTAGTATTTTCTGGTCATCAACAGAAAGAATGAAAGAAAGTAAGTGTAAAGCCCTTGATTGAAATAAAATGTGATCTCACCAGTGTGTGTGTAGAATATATTTTGGTGTGATCATGTTTTGTTCTCGACCGTATTAATTTTCCCCTATGTGAGCTGGTCTCACCTCACGTATCACCACTTGTTAGATATGCCCCTTCTCTCCCTTTACGCAACAGACTCCTGGGCCCTTCTACTGCGGCCGAGATCTTGCAGCTGACCAGCACGTTGAGCGGCCAGAACACCGGTGATGCAGGGGCCACTCGCGTCGTTCTGCCCATCATACAGCGGCCAGAGGAAGATTTGCTGGAGGAACTGTTTGCGGTGAGTGTAGTCACCTGTCTCACCGGTACTGTAACACTTTAGACTAAAGGTTTGGAATAACAAACCTCTTTCCTTAAAATGTTCACAATGTGGAAAATTTGATTTTTTGCCCCCAAATCTGCTGTTAGTTAGTAGTACGGGGTTTTACGGTGCTCGCAACTGCATAAGGTCATATGAGCGCGCTCCAAATCTGTTGAATGGGATGCTTTGCAGGTGAAGGGCCTAAACAGCTAGTTTAAACTCTGACAGAAAGGTAACATGTAGAACAAGGATTATGAGTTTGTGAAACATTTTCTTTTTGATCTGAAAAATTTGAAGTGTGTCATAGTATCTGTATTATCTTCAAGATTGGTGAATAGTTCTCAGAGGTGCAGCATCCCAAGTTTTCAGTGAACTTATTTTAATGTTTTTCTGCCGTAAATGTGATGTATATCGTGCTTCCCCACCCCCCTTTCTTTTCAAGTTGAGAGGATAATTGGCACCTGTACCGGAAAGTTATGTCAATTTTTAAACTTCATCACACTACGACATACATATATACTGGGGCTCCTTTGCCTGGTTTTATGTATAATGCCTTTGGTTCAAATTTTCTAATTTTGTATTGCTTCTTTCCTTTTAAAGTAACAATGATGATCGTCATTTGACTTTGTGTCTGAATACAGGATCCATATGCAGATGCCAGCTCGTCCGGCACAGGGGCCTTGTCCTGTATCCCGTCAACACTGACCAGATGGACAGAGGAGACCAAAGTGCTAGATGGAGATGGAGTTCACGTCCTGGTTCTGAGTAAGTTTTTGCTAGTGGGTGGGATAATTTACAGTGAATGGTTTTTGTGAAATCTCAATAAAATGTTGGTTCCCCCCCCCCCCCCCCCCCCCCCCCTCATTTAAAAAAAAACAAAAAAAACAACTAATGTTAGATTCACTTTTCGTCTCCTGTTTTATTTAATTGTCACATATTCTTTTGTGTCTACTATCTTTGCTGAGTTTTTTTTGGGTGAAAGTCACCTCTAATATTTGGGTTTGGGAGTAAAAGTGACATGAATTGGATGACTCTTTCATTTTCTTTTTGTTGTTGCATTCTTGGAATTTCATCAACAATGTCAATTGGTCATTGACAATTACTCTATCACAACTCTAGCTCTGTTGGCTGTGTTTTCCCCTCCTATTCAGCTTTTAATTTTTATTTAGATGTCGTACATTTAAGTCTGGTTCTTCTTTCCTATGAAACATCTATCGTCCTTATCTCCCCTTCTTCTTTTTTATGTTTGTTACACTATTGTAACACCTAATCTTCTGGTGCTCATATTATGACCTTATGCAGTTGCAAGCACCATTATCTGTTGTTCTCTACTAAAACTAACGAAGAGTTTGGTAAATGTTTCCACAGTGCTGAAGCCGCCTCTAGTGGAAGAGCTTGTGAGGCGGAGGGACGAAGAGCTGGCAGAGAGGAAAGAAAAGAGGAAGAAAAATGCTGAGACAGAAGATGAAAGGAAGGAGAAGCAAGATGCTAGTGGGACCAAGCCAACTAGCACGTCATCTGGAGCGGTATGCCTTCTTCTTTTTACTTTTTGTTTATAGAGCGTGTGCTTATCTAAACATTATTTCTGTCCAACTTGTGTCAAGATTTGGTTTTTTTTTATTGTGGTATTGTCAACCCCAATGGACAAAAATACAATAGTTTTTTTTTTTCTTTCTTTTTTTTTTTCATCCTTGTGTAAAGTAAGAAAAGAACGGAACATAAATTCCGCTGGACTGAACTGGTTTTTGAAGAAAGAAAATCCGGGGGAAAACACTTTTTAGAATCTATTGATTATTCTTGTTGGCCACAGTATGAAGTAATAGAAGATTATTTTTATAGTTTCCAGTGATTTGTGGTGAGATGTAAGTGCTTTTTTGGATGATTTTTGTTCCATTTCTGGTTACTGTTATGTTATGCGACACATTTTTGCTGAAGAAATTACTTGCAGCAAATCACAGTGAAATAAATATGATAATTTTAAGTGTGCAGGTAATCCTTTGCAGTTAAGTGTGTATCTACTGTCGTTTTATGGAGATCTAACTATTAAGTTAGCAGGAGTGTTCATTTATATGCATACAATACCTCATAATGGATCTAATTGCCTCTTTAAAAAAAATTATTATTTTCAGAATGCAACAGTGTCTGTGACCTCCTCTCAAGCCAATGGTGCTGAAGTCAGTGGACCTCCCCATCAAGGTAGGCAATGTGGTTGGTTGGCGGGTGCTCTGGTGTGGTTTGCTGCTTCTTCTCCATACTATCTTTTTTGTGTTTGTAACACCTTGTAGCACGTCTAAATCTTTGGCACATACATGACCTAATTGTGTTGCAAGTGCCATAAAGCCCTTAATGAAACTAGAAAAGGTAGTTAATATACTTGTGACAATGTTTGCTGGTTTATGCTTTGTGGCGTCAGTTGTAGAGTGGTTAGTATCTCAGATTCTCAACCATAAGGTTGTTGGTTCGTATTCTGTTAAGGGCTTGAAGTTGTGCCTGAAGTTATACGAACATCTCACCCAGCTGTTGACAGCGAAAGATCTTGTCAGTTTGTCAGTGTTTGAGTGCTTTGCTGGCTGCTTGCACTGTGTGCAGGGTTCCCATTGGTTGGGAAAACACCTTGAAAATGAATTAAAATTGAAACAAACGGGAGAAAGCCGGGAAATCAAAGCTCTGCCTATCATAATGAGTTTGGCAGAGCTGTTGCTGCTTCTTTTTTTTTCTTTTCCTTTTCCAATTTTCATTTTTGCATAAATAAGATTGTAACACCCCTGATTCCGATTTGATTTTTTAACGTTTATTTGTCAGTTGGTTGGTTGAAGGGCGTCTCTGGTAGGTTCTACTTCTTTTCTTTCCCTCGGTCCCCCCCCTCCATACTAAATGACCATTACTGTCAAACAAACACACAAAAACAAATTTTTTTTCCTGTCTTTCCAGCGGCAGAAATGCTTGCCTCAGCAATGGTAGAGCAGGTCTTGTCCCCGATGGCTGTGTCTTCATCCGACAACAACCAGGGGGCCACGCCAGTGAGCACGACAGAGGCTAATGCCCTCGACACGTCCCCAGCTCCAGCCGCCAGTATGGACCTCTCCTTTGGGTCGGGAGAGGGCCTGTCATCCTCCTCCTCAACAGATTTGTCGCCACTGTACGCCCCAGCCCTCCATGTGATCAACGCCTCCACCCCCAGCTCCCAGCCCACTACCACCAGTACGTCCCTCCAGGCCACTGTCTCTCAAATGGTCTCCTCCATCACGCAGCTCATGCAGCAGCAACAGGACAGGTCGGTGACCTCCACCACCGTCACCAGCACCGCCACAGCAACCACAGTGGCTGCCAGCAGCAGCAGCAGCAACAACCCTGCTTCGGCCTCGTTGCTGTTCTCTGCCGACTCGGCCCCAGCTGGCGGGCATGGCTCCAATTCCGCTGCAGCCGCCGTTTCCTCGGCCCCGTTCTACACCTCTCAGCTGCCTCTGTTCACCACTCTCAGCATGCCCACAGAGTCGTCGTCCAGCCAGTTCTCAGGTCCCGCTCCCCAGGCCATGGAGCAGCCGTCGATCACCGCGCCCCCGCAACCGGAGAGCTGGGGTTCGAGCCTGATGGCAGCTGCGGCTGCAAGGCCAGAGCAGCAACAGCGTTTGGAGGAGCAGAGGTCGTCGGGTCGCACCCACGGCCGCTCTATGATCAGCGAGTTGCTGGATAGTCTGATGAGTGACCAGTCGTTGCCTGCAGCTAACACACCTGTCTCGTCCAGCTCCACACAACCTTCTCTCCACCCCGCCTCTTCCTTTCGCATAAGGTGAGTAGAGTGGAAAGGCATTGTCTTCCCTTTTTTTATTTGGTGAGATCATGTTGATGTAAGTGATACCAGAAGACTGTTTAAACAGTTTAAACAGACAGTTTTTGTTGATGCTATTTGCATTTAGTTTATGCCTGGTTTATGCTGTATCAAATTCCATGGATTTGGAAATAAGTCATGTTTTCAGGGTAATTTTCTTTGGTGTGTATTCCTGCAGGCACCTTGCTTACAACTCTGGCAATCGCACAGCCCCACATCCTCCTTTCTTTATGCCGACGCCAGATGGTGAAGAAGGGAGCTCTCAGGAGACCTCGAGTCAGCAGACTGAGGACAGCTCATTGTCAGTGGCCACGCGTCGGGAGCTGGGATGTAAGTGGACAGATTGTTTTCATGTTGGCCACCTCTTTTGTTGAAGAAAAATTGTGTTTTTGCCCTGGGTTTGGGATCTTACGGATTGTTGGTTTACTCTCCTCCAGTTTTGTGTTTATCACTCTCTTGTAACACCTCTAATCAATATGACCGTATCGTGTTGCAAGTGCTGTAAAATTGTTACAAAAAGTAAACTTCCATGACCTTATTGTGTCGTAAGTTCGACCATTTTTAAAACTAAAGCTAATAATGAGAACCAAGCCCATAAGTCTATCGAGAGATCTTTTGCTGCAGGTCCGCTTCGAACAGCCTAGAAATGTCTTTGTAAAAGGGGGAGGGAGAGGGGGGGGAAGAGGCACTCGGCCAATGCCTACCTTCATGACCTGCTGTGTGAGTAAGTTGGGGGGGGGGGGGGGGGGGGGGGGAAAGAGTTTTTTGTTTTTTGCTTTGAAAAGTTGGCAGCTATGTAAATATAGGTGTCCTACTTATCTGCCCGTTGCTGTTATCACTGTTTCATTTTGTTTCAGTTTCAGAGGAAGACTCGTCTCTTCTGGTACCCGTTGAGGCTGGCTCTGGACCCTATGAAGGTTTATACCTGCCATCTATCATGCCACAAGCCTCTCAGAGGTAACTTTCTCACTGTATTGTCGTTTGGGCATTGCCCCTGTTTTGCATTGATCATTGTTGCTAGTGTGTTAAAGATTCCTTAAATATGGCTGTTATAACTTCTTCTGGATATGTTCGTGAAATGATTTGCATGTTGGTTGGATGTCAATTCACCATTCATTTCTTGAATTTCAATGGCAGCTCTGTATGTAAGAAATGTCAAAGAACAAAATGAATTTTATATTTTAACTTTATCAGATAAGTTAATTTCCTTGATACCGTATTTTCCATTATTTCTTTGCCTTTTATTGTCAGAATTGTTGCAGAGAGCCTAAAATTGGAACACACACACACACACACACACACAAATAAATAACAAAAATTATTGTTTGCATTCGTGCTGTCCCCACAGTTCGAGTAGCAGCGGAGCCACGGGTGCCACTCCTCCGTTGAGCAATCTGGGCTTCGTCAGCAGTACGGCCCCATCCACCATGGCAGTTGGCTCGGAAGTGCGGGCTCAGTCGGCAGCCGTGGCCAGCGCAACCATCAGCAGCACAGCGAGTGCGCCTCCAACCACTGCAACAGGATCCACAGGTAAGTCATCATCATCATCATCATCATCATCATCATCATCATCATCATCATCATCATCATCATCATCATAATAATAATAATAATAATAGATAGCATTTCTATAGCGCAAATCTCCGCTCAACAGCAAGCTCTATGCGCTTCACAATCTATACTATTAACCCAGCAGGCTCGAGAGCATTCTGAAACAACTTCAACTTCCTGGGAAGCATACAGTGCAAGCAGCCATTAATTATATTCGCTAAAACACTAACATACTGACAAGCAGCCATTAATTATTGGCGCTAAAACACTATGATACGGACAAGATCTTTCGCTGTCTATGGCCGGGTACCCATTCTCTATTGTTATCATCATCATTGCCTTTCTCACCCTGGGCAGAGTGAAATAAATCCCACCTCCTAAATGATCAAAATTGTGTCGATAGGGGCGTTAATAGACCTGCATCAATTCCTCCCCCCCCCCCTCCTTTTGCAATGATTGGGAAAGACTTTCAAGTGGGCGGTTGGCGAGTGTGATGTGGATTGCTCCTTCTTTCCTATCAAATATTTATTGTTGTAGCAACTCAACATTTGGGTGATTGTTTGGTGCTATGGTGTGGTTTCCTCCTTTCCTATCAATTATTTATTATTCTTATCTGCCCTCCTTCTTTAGTTACACTATCTAGTTTCCTCTAATCGTTAACACTTGATATGACCCGTTTGTGTTGTAAAACTCTTAGAGCAACTAATGTTTAATTCCAGACCCTAAGGGACTAAAACTAAACTGCTCAATTTCCTGCCACCATCATCACCACCATCATTGTCATCACTACCACAGACCTTACAATTTTCCCTTTATCCTGTTTTTTTTTCTTAAAGCACAACTATCACCAGTATGTTGACACATAAAAAAAAAATGTAACTTACAATCATTGGAACCAAATCAGGACATGGGGGACACGGGGACACCCCCTTCCCCCCAACAAAACAAACAACAGACAAAAAAAACCCAACCCTGCAAGCCTCTAAAAAACAAAAACAAATTTAAAAAAAAAATATATATAAAAAAACATATGCCAATTCCAGACCCGGAGCTCCCAGAGGGTGTGGACCCGTCCTTCCTGGCAGCGCTGCCCGAGCACATCAGACAGGAGGTCATCTCGGAGCAGCTGCGGCTCCAACGCATCCGTCGGCGCGCACAGGAGCAGGCACAGGCCCAGGAGAGCACGCCAAGCGGGAACTCTGCCGCCATGCAGGTCAACCCGGAGTTTCTGGCCGCCCTGCCCCCCGCCATACAGGAAGAGGTAAGATTTTTGGCGTCGTCTGTAGTTGGTGGTTGAGTTCGTTTCCTGAAGGTCGTTTGTTTAACTAAAAGTTAACGTTAAACTCTTCATCTGGGGCCTGACACCGTGCCCTTATTTTTTTCGTTTTTTTAAAATAAAGACATTTCTTTGGCAAACTTGGTTTTAAAAGTTGGAATGAATTCCATTTTGAAAAAAATGTGACATTCATAAGCGGGCGGGGGGAGAACGTTGGATATTGTGATGTTTCTTGATTTATCAGTAGAATACTAATCAACTAATGATATTGAAATGATTTTTACTGGACGGAGGAGCGATAGCTTAGTTAGTAAAACACTGGATTTGAAGTTCAAACCTCTTTGGGGGTTCAGGAAATCGCCTTATCCTGTTGTATCTGGGATGAAGGTAAAGAAACAAGCCTTTCTTAGAGTGGAAGGGTAATGGATATTTTTTGATTTAGAAAAAAAGTAGTTGTGTGCTCTTCAAGCAGTCCATAAATGTTGATTCAATTCTATGGTTTTTCACTTTTCCCACTTTCGTTAATATGTTGATGATGCATCTTGCCGTTGTGTGGAGCTGTCCATAGTTGTTTAGAAAATAGTTTTTATCCTGTTGTATCCGAGATGAAGGTTACTTTGGAGGTTTCCATTTTTAAAAGTTTTATTTTAGAAGTTTTTAAAAGTTAGCTAAATTTGCGTGAAGAAGTATGTAAATCTGAAAACGCGAACACATTCTCCCTCAGGTGTTGGCTCAGCAGCGAGCAGAGCAGGCGCGCATGGCGGCCCAGCAGCAGAGCGCCTCGAACCCGGACCTTCCCGTGGACCCGGCCACCTTCTTCTCCACCCTGCCCACCTCGCTTCGCCAGCAGGTTCTCTCCGACATGGACGACAGCATGCTGGCCGTGCTCCCACCCGAGCTGGCGGCCGAGGCCCAGGAGCTGCGGCGCGACATGGAGGAGCGCCACCGCCGCCTGCTGCAGGAGCGCCTCATAGCGCAGGGTGGGGCGGCTTCCATCTCTGCTATTCTCAGACACTCGGGTTAGGCCTTTTTCTTGTCATTCCGCCCTCGTTCCTGCTTCCCCCCCTCCTATTGTCCTATTGCTTCTTCGTCTATGCCATGTTTGTAGAGTGTTGAAAAGTCACCCTCCAACTGCTTCGTCGTCTACGCCCTGTTTGTAGAGTGTTTAAAAAAAGTTTCTTGTACGTTAGGCCTATGTGATTCTGCTCTCGTTCCTCCTACTGTTCTTCGTCATCTATGCCCTGTGTATAGAGTGTTTTAAAAAAAAGTTTCTTATGTGTCTGTGATAAATGATGTGTCAGTTTATCAGCCAGAATAACACGCTCCATGTCATTTTCATTTACCCCCTTTCCCCAGTGTGTCGTTTTCACCCTTCCTAATTAAACAATTTTCTCTCCGGTCCCGGAAATCCATGGTTATAATATTAGTAAAGTTTAAGATAGATACGATGGTAATTCCTGTCTTTGTGAGAATTTGAAGCTCGAAGGCGTATTAAAAAAGATTTTTTGTGAGAGAGCAATGTAACACTGACAGTTTGGAATCTAGAAGCTGAGTCACCGCTTTAATCAGGGTTGTTAAAATTAACACTTTGCAGTCACACCGCGAGTAGTACAAAATACCCCATCTGGTCAACCAGACAGGAGAGCGACTGCATCAGACCTCTCAGGCTTGGCGCAAAAATTCGCCAGGTGACCAGAATGGATAATTTTCAACGCCGCCTTATTGCGCCAAGTGACCGCAGAGTGTTAAATCCCTCTACAATATACACCCGCCTTTTCTGCATTCAATCTCACTATCTGCTTCTCCATTGTAGCTGATGTTGATATGTTTGTTGAGTTTTTTGTGTTGTTTTTTTTAAGGCATGGCGAACGAGATAGATCTTGATCTAAATTGTGGGCGATACAAAAATTTGTTATGCAAATTCTGAACGACCGGACAGATTTCATTCCGGCTATTCAGGAAAGTCCGCGGAAATTAATTCAGGCTGATGAGAATTTTTCAGTTGAGAGATAATATCAATATTATGAGCATTAACGTTGGTTTAGATGTTACCTGTCTATTATGTAATGAGATACTGTTGCCTCTCTTAAGGTGACTACTCCTCAAGTCAGTTTTCCTTTTGGTAATAACCAAGTTTTTAGTGACACGTCCACTTGACTAAACATATTTTTGTATAGTGCCACTGTTCAGACTTCTTTGGAGAGCAAGCACAGGGATTTTTTTCGTCTAAAGAACACTGGTTTCTATTTTTTTCCATTAGTCCTGAATTGCGTTTTTTAAAAAAATCCAAATAGTTGTCATTCTTGTTTGAAATGGTTCAAAGAATTTTATGTGCACTCTGCATTTTGTGATAAAGAAATGATTTTTTTTTGAGACATGAAGTTCTCACACATTTCATTTATGATTACAGGCTTGGCTGGGCGACTCGGAACACGCTATGCTATTCGAGCTACCCAGCGCCCGTGGTCGTTTGGAGGCAGCCGGCTACAGCAAGTCCAAGGGGGCTCCGGAACCAGCAACCCCACCAAGGTGAAAGGGCGCTTCATGCTGGACCCAGAAGCCTTGAGCTGCTTGTTGGTGTTGTTGTTTTTGGACGAACCTAAGTTGAACACTGCACGCCTGCACCGTGTCCTGCGCAACCTGTGTTACCACGGCCCCACCCGGGCCTGGCTCATCCGTGCTCTGCTTTCCATCGTGCAGAAAGCCGGGGACGTGAACACGGCGGCCGGGGTGGCCAACGCTCTGTGTGTGGAGGAGCGCCTGGCCCCCAGTCCCGCCGCCAGCTTCAAAGATAAAGGCAAGGGCAAGAAGTCTGCCGGCGCCACAGCTAACTCATCCTCCTCCTCCACGTCTTTCTCCTCATCCTCCTCCTCCGGCACAGACGCCTCCTTATCTATGCAACAGGACCCCAGTTCCATCTCCTTGTCAGCTGGCCCTGGTGGCATGACGGCCCGAGGCTTGGCGGCCACCTCCTCTACGATGGTAGCGGGGGCCGGGGGCTACTGGCTGTCCATCAGCCTGGAGGCCGCCCTGGGCTGCCGAGCCAACGTCTTCCAGATACACCGTAGCTCAGGGAAAAAGTCCAGTGGCTCCACGTCCGCCTCTGTCAGCATCCACCCGCAGGCAGCGCCTGTCGTGTGCCGGCACGCCCTCGACACGCTTATCTCGCTGGCCAAGATGTTCCCCACGTACTTCCTCCCGGCAGGAAAAGCCAAGGAGGTCTTAATCCGATCAGAAGCGGGTAAGGATGAGGATTCCGACTCTTCGGGCTCAAAGAAGCTCCCGGGAAGCGGGGCCCAGTCGAGTCCCAAGATGGCGCGCGCTGCGGAGAGTGCAAGCGGCTCTTCAGGGTCAGCCAGGCACGAGGTCAAGTCGGACAATGACTTCTGGAATATTCTTGTGAGACTCGACGGTGCCTCCGGCAAAAGTAAAGGAAAAAGTAAGTTTTCATTTTGTGCCTTTTGTGATGTATGGAATGATCCCAAAAAAAATTGAAAAAATTGCGAATATTTTCCTCCACACTGAAGCTTTGCATTTCAAATCTGAACACAATATGTGGAATTCAAAAGGAGTGTAGCTGATATTTATCTTACATAATTCCGCATAATAGTTTTGCTCTATATGGTGTACAAAAAAGCAAACCCATTTTCAATCTTTTCCTTCCGACAAAAGCAAAGGAAAAAAGTAAATTTTCATTTTGTGCCTCTTGTGATGTATGGAGTGATCCCCCACCAAAAAATTTGTTTGCCTCTCGTTCATTAGATGCGGGGTTTGAAACCTGGCCGCGATGGACAATTTTCTTCTCTATAATTTTCTCCTTTCACCTCCTTTCATACTCTCTAACCATGCTCTATCGTCTGCTTTCTTCTCTACTTTCTGCCCCCCCCCCCCCCCCATGTGCTCTCCATTGGGCTCCTGACTCTTTCTGCAGCCTTTCTGCTACTACTCCTTGGCTCCTCCTAACTGTTGTCTTTCAGCCACACCCCTGATCTCAGGTTAAGGAAGATCTTGCTCCTAGCCTTCTCGGATAAGGGCGAAAAATCTTGGAGGTCCCGTGTGCAAGTTGCGCACATAAAAGATCCCTTGGTGGTCCAAAATCGATAAGAGTAGGCTTCAGCCACCACCCGAGCAAAATTCGAAATTAATTTCTTACCAAACTGAAAATGTTTAATGTGTCCGCACGCTCGTATGACCGTATGCAGTTGCGAGCGCTTTGAAACGCTGACTTACCCTAACAACAAAGATGCCACTCCATGCTGAAAAATGTGCAGTGTGGCTGGTTGTAACGCTCACTGCCAGGGGTTGAATTCCCAATTTAGAATATTCATGGTCAGATAACTGCTTGAAGTAGACACTTGTAAATTTTCTCTATTCATCATTTTTAGTGAGGTTCAAACACAAAATTTGATTGCCCGAGTGCTAACACTAACAATGTTCGACAGTTTGTTGTCTCCTGTAAAATTTTAAGATTTGAGTTAAGGTGGTTCCAACAGGGCATCTACAATGTGTTGATTATGGAAGACTGCTATTTGGTAGAGAAAGGGGCATGCTTCAGGTGTGCAGTGTGTCTGATATAAGAGATTTTTTTTCTATACTTCTGCTAAAAGTTGCTGTTGGTTTAATTATAATGGAGTTTTTCTGTACGGAAGTTCTTTGCTGGCTTTAAAGGGTTATTTTACTAATTCGGTACGCAAGGGATTTCACAGTTTTTGGCTACTTTAAAACGGTTATAGTTCAGTCAAATATTGACAGATTTGTTTGTGCGAGCACTCAAACTATTTGTAATTGGACGAAGGTTCACAATGTAGTTGAAAATAAGTAGTAAATGTATCACTGGGTTGGGTGTAAATCTTTGGTTTAATTAAATCAGCGCCAAACGCCACTTAAGTGGCGTGGCGGTGATATGCAGAACCAAAAACACCACTGGAATGACGAGCTGAATTCAAAGAGTTATTATATTATTGTGTTAGTCATGGATGTTTATTTTGCTGACCCTTCCTCTTATATTATTAGACTCTCTCCTGAGGGAGCTGTACCAACGCAGTTTTAGTTTGAAGATGGAATAGGAATGGACCAGACACAATAGGGTATAGAGTATAAACCTGCTCTAAAGACCACCATTTAAGACAACCACCTGTGTAAATAACCACTTCTCTCTTTCCTCCTCTTGTTTTGTTTTCCTGTTATAATGACACTGTCCAAGGCAACCACCTGTCACATGACCATGTTTCTCCTCGACATTGGGTGGTTGTCTTGTCTTAGACAAGCTCGACTTTTAAAAAAATATTTTTTTAAACGTTTAATTTCTTGTTCATGAGTGCTTGGCGGGTGCTCTGGTATGGTTTGCTTCTTCGTTCCTATCAAACATCTATTATCCTTATCTCCCCTCCTTTTTTATGTTTGTTACTCTCTTGTAACACCTCTAATCTTCTGGCGCTCATATGACCTTATGCAATTGTGAGCGCCGTAAAGCCTCTACTAAAACATAATACAAAATTCTTGTTTGTGGGTCTTGCAGATGTTATTTATTAAAATAGTTATTAAACACGGAGTTTAAATTCTTACCTGTTATTCACTTTTTTCTCGTGTGCGTGTTGCAGGTGTTCAGCGCAGCCACAGCACAGCGGGTGCCGAGTCGGAGCTGCAGGCCACAGACTACGCCAGCAGCGCCCTGGGTCAGCTCATGTCCATGCTGAGCCAGCCCGTGGTGCGGCGGAGCCAGCTGCTCACGGACCGGCTACTGCGTCTGCTGGGCCTCATCTCCGTCAGCCTGCCCGACACCGCCAAACCACCCTCAGCAGCCACCACAACCACCACCACCACTACTACTACCGCCAGTAGTACTGCGGCCATCACGACAGCGACCGATGCGGTGACCACCACTCGACCGGCTGCCACTTCGACTACCACCACTACTGCGGCGGTGGCGGGTCCTGTGACCACCGTGTCAGCTACCGCTGCGATGGCTGTAACTTCTGCCACGGCGACGACTGTGCCTGCCGCCCCTAACCCGACTGTCTCAGGGGAGGCCACGGAGCAGCAGTCTGTGCTAGGAGCAACCACAGGTAGAAGGGGTTCATGGGTGGTTGGCACTTCTGGTGTGATTTGCTTCGTCCTTTTTTATCAAACATATATTGTCCTTTAAATCTTTCCTTCTTTTCTTTGGCTACTCTCTTGTAACACCTCTAATCTTCGGCACTCGTATGACCTATTTGTATTGCAAGTGCTGTAAAATTCTTACTTAAAACTAAAGAGGGTGTTTAAATTTATTAATAGGGGTCACCAAGTGCTACATCTGTTTTGGGTTAGGTTATTAAAATTATTATTGGATTATGAAAAATTACATATTGTATTTATTTATTGTTTAGTGTATGTTCAAAGCTTTGTTATACAAATAAATGGTATTTTTTTTGTACTTGTGTTACATGGTTCTGGGAATGCCATCTAGAAAGTAGTCTTGTTTTTAAATGCATACTTGTGTTGCCTCTGTTACTGATAAACTGGGGGGCTCTCGTGGCCTAGAGGTTAAGGTGTCGGCCTCTCATTCAAAGGTCGCGGGTTCGATTCCGGGTGGCGACCAAAACATTTTCTTCTCTAAAATTGTCTCCTTTCACATCCTTTCCTGATCTCTAACAATGTTCTGTTGTCTGCTTTCATTTCCACTTTCTGCCCCCACCCCCTCACCTCCTTTGCCCCCTCCTCTGGGCTCCTGACTCTTTCTGCAGCCTTTCTACTGCTACTCCTTGGCTCCTCCTAACTGCTGTCTTTCTGCCACACCCCTGATCTTCTGGTAGGAAAGATCTACATCTAGCCTTCTCGGACAAGGGCGAAAAATCTCGGAGGGCCCGTGTGCAAGTTGCGCACGTTAAAGATCCCTTGGTGGTCTAAAATCGATAAGAGTAGGCTTCGGCCGCCACCCGGGCAAAATTCAAAATTTCCTACCAACGAAAAAGTATTAGGTGTGTCCCGCGCGCTCATATGACCTTATGCAGTTGCGAGCGCCGTAAAACCCTATACTAAACAAACTGAAAAACTGTGCAATTAAAATGTGAAATAAGTATGTTACGAGATTTGCTTTTGGGCTCTTTTCTATTTCTGTAAGATTTACAGCTATCTTGATCTTGGGAAATGTTGCGTATATCTTGCTGACTATAACTTAGAAGACTACTTTCTTTTTCCAACAGATGCTTCAAGCACAGAGGATGGAACTAAAAAGAAGGAGAATGGATCCTCAGCAGAAGAGGAGGCTGAGGAAGAGGAGGAGTCCCCAATCCTCTATAATGAACTGAAGCTTGCTGTCGAGGTGAGTGAATTGTGATTGAAATGATGAATGTGGGTGGTTGACGAGTGCTCTGGTGTGGTTGCTTTATCTTTCCTATCAAACATCTGTCGTCCTTATTTCCCCTTGTTCTTTTTTGTTTGTTACTCTCTTGTAACACCTCTAATCTTCTGGCGCTCATATGACCTTATGCAGTTGCAAGCTCCGCAAAACCTCTACTAAAACTAAACTTATACCTGCATGTTTGCCGACAATCGTCTGAAATCCGACAATCGCGACCCGACCCGCGAGGCGGCCGATGCTATCGCTAGGCCCACTTGTATCAGTCAATGTGCGAAGTGCGAGGCCTGGCCGACTGCCAGCGTCCCCCTTTTCTCCCGTCGGCTTTGTCGGCACTTTCGTGTTCGTGCCGACCACCGACTGCCGACGTCGGCGTTTCCGACATAATTGTCGGAACCTGAGTAGAAATGCGAATACGAAAAAGGACGACGACCTAAATTATCTACTTTGTTTCGTGCTCGACCGGCCATTTTGAATTTCGTTTTGTTGACAAATTCAATTGTTCAGATCGTGTGGATTAATTCCAGTCCAACTCACTTAGATTTAGATTCTAGATAAATAGAATCTAGATCTAGATCTAGACATCTAGATCTAGATCTAGACATCTAGATCTAGACATCTAGATCTAGATTTATATAGAGATCATTATAGACCTCAATGGAGGATTCATATTCCAATTCTATTTTATCCAACCCTATCATAGGCTGTGCTGTAATATTAATGTTGGTAAAAGGCATTTCATCAGGTGCGTGAATTATTTATTTATTTAGAATCTAGACTCAGCTGAGCCCCTCTGTTCGGAATCGGATGCGGATTTCTAGTTCAAGGCCAAGGCCTATTCCTAGATCCTATTCACTTGTTCTACTAGATCTAGATCTAGATCTAGATTTATTTAGTTTACTAGCTCTAGATCTATATATGGAGGATTCATATTCCAATTCTATTGTGTTACTTATTGTATCAAACCCTATTATTATAGATCTAGCAATATATATGTAGATCTAGATGTAGGCCATTATATTATGCTCCTTGTAAGCCTTGTTTGTTTTGGAGTGTGGTTTTTTAATTTTTAATTTAATTTTTTTAAAAACTTTTGCTGGCCTTTTCACATTAGGCTCGTTGCAGGTTCTTTTTTGGGGTAGACGTAGGGGTAGGGTTAGGTCTCTTCTTTGTTGTGTTTTTTGGGGTGGTCACTCGTTACTCGAAAGTCCTTCCTTATGACTTATGACACCCACAAAAGCTCCTTGGGGGGGGGGGGGTTGCGCAAAATTTTCAGACAATCTGGTTGAGGCTCACATGCAGGTCTATAAACTAAATGATGAATAGAGAAAAGTTGTAATGGTGGCTCTTTTCTAAAAACAATATTGTCTTGCACACAAATGTCATGCTGTGTGTTTAAATAAATGTAAAGAAAGGAGTGGTGTGTTCTGATTTTGTGCTACCACCACGTGTATGTCTGTTCAGTATTTCTGTTGACAGGGAGGAGACGGTAATATTTTAGTAGGATTAGACCGCAAGTCTGAACGGACTTCACCACCCTCACACACATGCACAAATACTTTCAATCATTTGTACTCATTCACAACTTCTATTACATTGGTCACAAATTTGAGATATGCATGCTTATGCTGCCAGAAAATATTGTAGAATGTAGAAGATTGTGCTCTATTGATTCATTTGAGGCACGGTTGGTCCATTCAACAGACAATTTGAGTGAGTGTTTGGCGAGTGCTCTGGTGTGGTTTGCTCCTTCTTTCCAATTAAACGACTATCGTCTTTATCTCTCGTCCTTTTTTATTATGTTTGTTACTGTCTTGTCACCTCTAGTCTTAGGCACTTATATGACCTTATTGTGTTGCAAGTGCCGTAAAACTCTTACAAAAACTAAAGACAATTTGAACAACTGTTGTGAATTCTGTCATTGCAGGTTCTGACATCCAAGTCGTGTTCTGAGGAGGGTCTGGAGGACGCCACCAATCTATTGCTCCAGCTGTCGTGGGCCAACTCGGCAACGCGAGCAGCTGTGCTGGAGCTGCTGTTGTCTGGGGCCAGGCAGTTGGGCATGACTGTGTGTGGTCATATCAACAGGTAACCAGCCTGTAGACTAACCGTTGTTGTTGTTGTTGTTCTTCCTCCTCCTCCTCCTCCTCCTCCTCCTCCTCCTCCTCATTTTCCTTCTTCTTCTTCTCCTTCTCCTCCTCCTTTGGCTCCTGCTGCTGCTTCCCTTCCCCCCTCTCCCCCTCCTTCTATTGATTATTAATAAATGATAACTGTTGGGGGTGTTGTTTTTTTTTGGGGGGGGGGTTGTGCAACTATAGCAAATAGAAAGTGAAAAGCATTGTAGACAGCTTAGACTGGAGAATGAGTTTGTTATCTTTAAAAGTTGCTGAGAGGACAAAATGTATATGTGCCTGGTTGTTGGAGGGGTAGTTTTGTGTTTTTTCCATTTTTGTATCATTACATGTGATATTTGATTATAGCTTTGTATACAGGTTAGATATATTGATGAGGTTTGTTGTTTGACATTGCTGAAGTGGGTGGTTGGCGGGTGCTCTGGTGTGGTTTGCTCCTTCTTTCCTATCAAACATCTATCGTCTTTATCTCCCCTCCTTCTATTTTATGTCTGTTACTCTCTTGTAACACCTCTAGTCTTCGGCACTTGTATGACCTTATTGTGTTGCAAGTGCCGTAAAACACTTTCTAAAACTAAATTGACGTTGCTGAAATGACCTTGTACTTGTCCTCAGTTTGTTGGTGCAGCTGCAGGAGTTGAACGCCGGCCTGGATCACATGGAGGAGGAGAGCAGTAGTCGTGACGGAGAGACAGGAGGGGCTAGTGCAGCTGGCTCTCAACACACAGCCAAGGGCATTTTACCTGACAGGTAACTGGCAGAGAAAGTGGGAATATTTACAAGACAACACACACACCCCCCCCATGAAAATTTGCTTTTGTTTTGTGTGAAATGGCTCGAGAAGATCCTTTTAAGAAATGTGTCCACTTGTATACGTCTATATTTTACATTTTTAAACATTTCTTTTTAAAAATATTATTGTTCTTTTCTTTCCCTCTGTTATTTCTTTGTCCTTTTTTTTCCTGAACTAAATGACTGTAAAATGTCAATGTGCTTCTCATTACTGAAGCAAACAAACACGCAAAAAAGAAGGGAGTCAATATTATGTAGGCCTCCATTCTAAATAATGGAATGTGACATTGAACCGAAGACCCATAGAGGGCCTTGCAGCTGAACTGAACACTTTGATATGTTTTTTTGTTTTACAGCATTTCCTATTTGTATCTCACCTGGTTCTGGTTGTGACAGTGGGTGGTTGACGGGTGATCTGGTGTGGTTTGCTTATTCTTTCTTATCAAACATCTGTCTTTCTTATCTCTCGTCGTTCTTTTCTTTTTACGTTACTCTATAGTAACACCTCTAATCTTTGGCACTCGTATAACCTACTTGTGTTGCAGGGGTTGTAAATCCCCTTTGTGTGGGTGGTTGGCGGGTGCTCTGATGAGGTTTGCTCCTTCTCTCCTATCAAACATCTATCGTCCTTATCTCCCCTTGTTCTTTTTTATGTTTGTTACTCTCTTGTAACACCTCTAATCTTCTGGCGCTCATATGACCTTATGCAGTTGCGAGTGCTGTAAAACCTCTACTAAAACTAAGGGGTTGTAAAGCTGATACTAAAACTATACCCTTGTTGTGACGTGCTGTGTTTTCTGTTTTTACCATTTCTCTCTAGGTTCTCTGCTGGAAGCAGTGTTGTGGTTTCTGCTCCGAGCAAGTTGAAAACGGGCAAAGAGCTTCAACTGTCTTCTATGTCACAGCTGACCAGCAAGAGTTCTGGGCAGCAGTTCTTCCTGCGCATCCTCAAAGTCATTATTCAACTGAGGGATGCTGCCAGGTCGGCAGGAGCCAAGAACAAAAAGCCAGCTTCGAGAGGTAAGCACGAGCCAATCCACAGATTTGGGTTTTGACCGAGCTGAGGATAAAACGAACCGTAGTGACTTGGAACGAGACCTGGAGCCAGATCTCAGACTGATGGAGCACAGCTGGCTTGAGGTAGAAAGGATCACCTAGAACAGAGTATAATGTTTTAAAATTTTTATATTAAAAATTTATATATTTAAAAAAAAAAGTTTCCTCCAGATGGCCACTTGATTGTTTGACAACTATATCAACAGTGTGTTATTGGGAATTGTCCAGCCAAGGAAAGGAAAATTAAAATGTAACTTGTCTCATTATTGTACTGAAGGACTACGGAGTTGCTTTCGTTTGATTACAGCCGTATCCCAAAACAAGATGTGCATTGTATTGTGTTTGCAGAGAATATCTCCACTTTTTTTCTGTCAGGTGGTTCAGGCTTGCAGGATCTCCGGTCCATCATCAACTCTGTGGTCAGTGACAACCAGTTCCTCAACATGATAGAGGGCAGAGCGGTGTCTGGTCTGTCGGGTGTTGCTGCCAATAATGTCCCCGGCAGCCAGGCTGTTGCTGCTGCTGCTGGTGGACAGGCCAGCTCTGGCAGCAACTTGGTGGGCTCAGCGAGGGTGGAGTTGTCTGAGGGCAGTGCGCAGCCGCAGTCTTCTTCTAGCCAGTCGGAGCAAAGGCAAGGGTCGGAGACGCCTATGGAAGTGGATGCCAGCCTTTCCGCAGCAGGTGATTATTATTATTTTTTAAAATATGTTTCTTTTAGTTTCAGTTTGGTAAAAGAGTTATTGAGATATGCACTTATTCTGATTTAGGACACCTTTCTGGGTTATTTTCACTGTACTTCATGTTAATATCTTCAACGGTTCAAAAGTTAAGACCATTATTGACTTAAATTGCACACACACACACACACACAGGGACAGGTTTTCTTTATGTGCCTCACATATTAACTTGGCAACATGATAGCTTCATGCAGGTTGCTCTTTGTGTCCTTCTGAAATGATGAGTCTAGTCTAAACAAATTACTGGACAGGTGATTGGCAGGTACTCTGATGTAGTTTCCTCCTTCTTTTCTATCAAACCTCTTTCTCCTCAATCTCTCTTCCTTCTTTTATTTGTATGTTACTATCTAGTAACACCTTTATTCTTTGGCATTTAATTAAGTTGCAAGTGCTGTAAAACTCTTTACTAAAACTGCAAGCAAATTACTGATAATGCCCCCTTCGTCTCAGATCGTGAGGACTCGGGTGCGCCTGCCCCCGGTGGTTCTTCGTCCAGCATGACGTCTAGTGCGACTACGACAACGACGACGACCTTGCCCCGCCTCAGTGAACAGCTGTGTCTGGAGGAGCTGTGGTCCACGCTGGGTGCCTGCCTGTCAGAGCTGGCCAAGACCCCCGACCATCACGCCGTGCTCATCTTGCAGCCTGCCGTGGAGGCATTTTTCATTGTCCATGCTGGTTAGAAAATTTGCTTCTGTAGTTTGCTTTTCCGGTCCAGTGGAGGGTGGTGTCGGTGGCGTAGTTGTGAGGCTACCAGACTCATAATCGTGAGATTGAAGATTTGCGTTTCGAGTGTCAGCTCGGTCCGATGTTGTGTCCTTGGGAAAGGCACTTTACTCGAATTTCCCGCTTGGTTCAAGTCCTTTCAGAGATGAACGTTATATTATGTTTATTGGGGTGGTCATCTTACTATTTAGAGTATCCCGTAGCTGACCTAAAGCACCCCATTTTAAATGGTTATGGTATGCTATGGAGCATTATGTCGACCATGTTCTCTTGTTGGGGGGTGTTAATGCTTATAAGCCGCCGGCCTCATCACTTATTAATTTATTTTACAAAGTGAAGACACACGATGGTCCAGCAGGCTTGGCGTTAGTTTGTCGTCACTTTTATGTGTGTCTGTGCTCGTGGAAGAGAAGAATAGGGAACTTGCAGTCTGAGAACAACATGCCCTCTGCTGTGAGGACATGTCCAGTTAAAGACTGCTACAGTAATAGGATAGTTTGATCTCTGCGACCAAAGTGCTTCACATGCACGAGGTTGATCTTGCTGTCTTACATTCCTTTTCACAGGGGAGTGCATGTTATGAGCTTAGGGAAATTAACAGGAAGATACAGAATGTAGGAAATTAAGAAAGAAATGTTGCTTAGAATTAAATAGATGCTGTATGTGCTGTTATTGTATGTTACACATGGGGGGGGGGCAGGATTGTAGTATTAATATTATTTTCGTAATATTTTTCTCACTTAATCATTGAGATTGACTGGAAGGGAAAGGAATTCCATTTGTTCCTTTCGAAATTACACGTGCTGGAAACTAGGTGATGGTTCAGAAAGCTTATTGGCTCAAAAGATTCAATAAACAATAGACTTTGCTCTTTTGTCTGGTGCCATGTTGTGGTTTTACAAATATGTGTGAGTTGAATTGTGTTATGCAGTGCAGGATATTTTCAGTGTTTGGCAGGGGGGGGGGAGGGGTAGATTTCTCTGGCACGTGAGAGATAATGCAGCTCAGGAAAATAGTATCTGGTCTGAACCCTTCCACTCCTAGCCATTTTTTTGCACCTCCTAACCTCCATTTCCTGCCAGTACAGCAGTATTTTAGAAAAAGTGGCATGCATTCTAAAAAGTGATGTAGTGTCTGTGAAATGAGGCTTAGATAGTAACATAGAACATTGTTTAAAGGTAACTGAACAAATACGAAAATAGTTTAATTAGGTCAGCTAATTTTGAAAAATGTGCAAATTCGGTACCCCTTGAAATTGAGAATATACGCTTTTGGGATGGAGGGAGGTACGGGCGCTGCTGAAAATATACGCGCATGGGGCTGGAAGGGTTAAAAGCATGTTTTGTCTACCGAGGTGCATCAATTTACCTTGTGGGTGGTTGGCAGTTGCCCTGGTATGGTTTGCTCCTTCTTTCCTATCAAACATCTGTAGTCCTGATCTCTCCTTCTTTTTTATGTATGCTACTCTCTTAATCTTCGGCACTTATATGACCTTATTGTGTTGCAAGTGCCGTAAAACTCTTACCAAAACCAAACATTTTAGCTTTTGGTATTTTCTTAGGTGAGAAGGTGAACAAACCGAGTGAACAGCCCGTGTCGCGGCGGGAAGACCAACTGGCCCACCTGTACATGGAGATGGCCCCGCCCAGCCCGTCCCCGGGGCCGTCCACAGCACCCGAGGGGCCAATCTCCATGGTGACCCGCGACAACTCGGGCATCGCCATGGCCTCCATCACCCACCTACCCCCAGACACACAGAAGTTCCTCAAGTTTGCTGGTGAGTGAGATGTGTCACTGGCCGTGGGAGTACCGTAACACTTTGCAGTCACACAGCCAGCAGTACAAAATCTGGTCTCCCAGCCAGGAGAGTGACTGCAACGGACTTCTCGGGCCTAGCGCAGAACTGCGCCAGGTGACCTAAACGGATGGTTTTCAACGGCGCATTATTGCGGCAAGTGACTGCAAAGTGTTAAGACAGTGCTTTAGAACCTCTTTTTAATGTCACTCATCCAGTAGACATTAGAAAATTTTGTTGTCCTTTGAATAAGTATTCTTTTTTTTTCTGTTAGATCCGTTAATGAATTCTTCAAGCTTATCCTCGCTGTCTGATCCGTGTTCCTGGAAGCTGTTTTCCGTGGAACCTGAAGAAAAGAGATTTAAATCACTATCAATGAAGCTGCAAAATGTCTTTAAAGTATAAATTATGGTTGAGATTTAGTTTCTCATTAACCTTTTCGAAGCAAATTCTTAGTGTAACATCATCAATTCTTTTTTGGGGGGTATCATCGAGTGATTGAAAAGAAAGAGAGATTTTTGAGATTGACCGAAGAGGGGTGATTATGGTGTCCTTTTCTGTTGGGGCTTAAATGCTTCCCAGCTTTTCCAAGGATGTTTAAGTTCCTTTTTCAGAGCAAAATTGGATGAACATTGATATATTATATCTTCTCTCTGGTGCAAAATAAACTGCTCGTATATAGCCACCAGTCCTTGATTAAAAGTCTTTGGCTGTAAGTCCACAGATTTCAACCTATTGAAATATGCATGTTTATGTTGAAAGTTCTGTGAGAATCATTACTGTCTTTATAAAGATATCCTTAGTTCATAGACTTGAAGTGAAATAACTTTCCAAAACATTACTTTTAACAGCTTTTTTTGTGTTTTGTTATGGCAACATTTTGACTTTGGACATGGCATTACTACTCGTATAATTCATTGATGTATGCTGCGTTGTTTTCTTCTTTCGTCCCTTTCAGAGACTCACCGCACAGTGCTTAACCAGATTCTTCGTCAGTCGACGTTTCCACTAGCCGAGGGCCCCTTCTCTGTCCTGGTGGACTACACTCGCATCCTTGACTTTGACGTGAAACGGCGCTACTTCCGCCAGGAACTGGAGCGTATGAACGAAGGCGCCCGACGCGAGGACCTCCCGGTGCACGTGAGGAGGTCGAACGTGTTTGAGGACTCGTTCCGAGAGTTGTTCCGACGTTCGCCGGAGGAGTGGAAGCAGAGGTTTTACATTGTTTTTGAAGGTGAGGAAACATTTTTTTGTCGTTGCTTACTGCAGTGATGTATTTTACACGTGTTTCCTGGGAGGGATGTTTTGTTCTGTGAGATTTATTCCATTTGAACAGCATCTTGTTGACATGTTACATAAACTGTTTCATCATTCACGAAAAGTACAACTGATATGTTGGGTTTTTAAAAAAATGTAATAACATTCTGACTTTCAGCCGACTTTTGGATTTGTGGTTTATTGTTTTTATTCTTTGTTCCAACCTATAGAAAAGAGAACAGTTGCCAGTGTAAAGTATTCATTTAGCAAAAAACTGGATGTCTTGAATATTTTTTAAATTTGTGTTTGCGCGAGTGCATGCAGTCTGAGAACGGCATTTCCTGTGTTGCTTTGCGGATCTGCCAAGTCAAAGACTGTGACAAAATACTTGGAGTGCCAACATTATGCTTTGCATCCCCTATATGTTTGCAAAGACTCGTTGACACTTCTGACATGTTCATATTATGCTTATCATGCTGGAGACAGAAGGTTTTTTTGGGGGGGGG